TTGGCTTTCAAAAATTCTACTTCCTTGGTTCCTTTGTTTCAATGTATCACAGTTATTTCTGCTTTAAGGTTAGGAGAGGTGACCTTGGGAATAGACCTGGGGGTGGAGGGTATTTATAGCTTAAGGGAGAACACGGTATAGATGAACTTAGCTCAGGGGAGCTTCCAAAAAGGTAACAGACCCATCAACCAGTAAGAGGACAGTTATAGGCATGAGTCTATATAATGAGGTGGCCATTATAAAAGAATCTGATAAGCTGAAAGGGCCTGGCATAAAGCAACATCAAAAACCATTTTAATTCTAGTCTTTCTTATATAGATGGGATAGGCCAGAAATTAACAGCTTTGTGTTAGAAAAGCAAAATGATAGGGGTGCCTGGGTGGCTCAGTCAGTTAGGCATCTAACTCTTGATTTCTGCTCAGGCCATGATCTCAGGGTCATGAGATCGAGTCCTGCATTGGGCTCCGGGCACAGCATGTAGTCTGCTTGGGATTCTCTCTCCTTCTCCCTCTGTCCCTCCCCGCACTTGCACATGCACGTGCACTCCCTCTCTCTGTCTCTCAAATAAATAAATAAATAAAATCTTTAAAAATAAAGAAAAGCAAAATGATATCCCAGGGGAGATATTTAAACACTAGGGCAGGGAGATTAACCTAACCTAGGGCAGGTTTTTACCCCCAAAGCACACTTTGCATATGAGGAAGCATCCTAGTGATTATAAATTATTTTAATGTTTTATTTCTATTGAATTTATTTTATTTACACTTAATTTAGCTGAAAATAAGTTTTGAAGACCTGAATGTATAAAGTAAGAAGGTTGAAGAAAAGGCCTAATTGTCAAAGGCAGAAAGCTCTTTTACAAAAATAGAATAATGATTAATAAATCATTACTGAATTTAGTAGTGTTAGTAACAGAGTGAATAATAATGCTTCTTCTAGGAATTGACTGCCTTAATACTTTATGTGTCTGAGATTGGGGGCTAAAACCCCTGTTCTTTAAGATCCTCCCAATTCTAAGAACTATAAATTTATGAACCAGAATCTGAAGGAGAAGAAAAATAAACCCTTTTCTCCTTAGTATGTCTATGCCTAAGAAACATTTTCAAACCAGATTGTATTATTTCTTCATACCATGCCATATTCTGTCTACATACCAAGTGGAAAATGTAGTTGGAAATGTTTTTTGGCCAAATATAACTCTGTTCTGGGAAACTACTTCCTTTACCAACCACAGCTATTCAGACACATCTTAGAATATAGTATAGGTATCCAAGGAATACCCACCATGTTCCCTTAAGCCCCTGAATTAACTTCTTAGAAAAAATTGCAAACTGATGACTGAGGCATCTGGGACTGGCATGGGTGTCTGGCTTTTTTCGTGCATACCTCTAGCCTAGCCAACAATTTGTGCATTGTGAGAGAGGACAAGCAAGTTGTCCTTTTAGACATTTCCACATGACTGTTTCATAGGTCTATCATACTTAACTTTCCAAAATCAAAGCCAACTGCCTCAAAAATGTTCTACCTGCAGTCTTTCCTGTCTCAGTAAATGGCACCACCATACACCCAAAAGTTCTTATCCTGCTTTACCTCACTCCCCAAATCCAATTTATGAACAAATTCTGGAAATTCTGAACAAATTATTCTGAAAGAAATCCTCCATTTCACCATCATTACGATTATTATCCTGCTCCAAGACACCATCATCACACATCTGGACTACTGTGAAAGCCTCCTGTTTTCACTGTTCTTCTTCTATACTCCACCTTCTAGCCAGAAGACAGAATCAGCTTTTTATTTTTTTATTTTGATTTTTTAAAATTTTATTATGTTTTTTTTTCTTAAAGATTTTATTTATTTATTCATGAGAGACAGAGAGAGAGAGGCAGAGGCAGAGGGAGAGGGAGAAGCAGGCTCCCAAGGAGCAGGGAGCCCGATGTGGGACTCGATCCCAGGACCCTGAGATCATGACCTGAGCCGAAGGCAGACGCCTAACCATCTGAGCCACCCAGGCGCCCAAAATTTTATTATGTTATGTTAGTCACCATAAATCATTAGTTTTTGATGTGGTGATCCATGATCCATTGTTTTCACATAACACGCAGTGCTCCATGCAGTACGTGCCCTCCTTAAAACCCATCACCAGGCTAACCAATCCCCCCTCCCCCCTCCCCTCTAAAACCCTGTTTGTTTCTCAGAGTCCATAGTCTCTCATGGTTCATCTCTCCCTCTAATCCCCGCCCCCTCATTTTTTCCCTTCCTTCTCCTAATGTCCTCCATGCTATTCCTTATGTTCCACAAATAAGTGAAACCATATGATAATTGACTTTCTCTGCTTGACTTATTTCACTTAGCATAATCTCCTCCAGTCCCATCCATGTTGATGTAAAAGTTGGGTATTCATCCTTTCTGATGGCTGAGTAATATTCCATTATATATACGGACCACATCTTCTTTATCCATTCATCTGTTGAAGGGCATCTTGGCTCTTTCCACAGTTTGGCTATTGCGGACATTGCTGCTATGAACACTGGGGTGCATATGGCCCTTCTTTTCACTACATCTGTGTCTTTGGGGTAAATACCCAGGAGTGCAATTCCTGGGTCATAGGGTAGCTCTATTTTTAAATTTTTGAGGCACCTCCACACTGTTTTCCAAAGTGGCTGTACCAACTTGCATTCCCACCAACAGTGTAAGAGGGTTCCCCTTTCTCCACAACCTCTCCAACACTTGTTGTTTCTTTCCCTGTCCATTTTTGCCATTCTAACTGGTGTAACATGGCATCTCAATGTGGTTTTGATTTGAATTTCCCTGATGGCTAATGATGATGAACATTTTTTCATGTGTCTGTTAGCCATTGGTATGTCTTCTTCAGAGAAGTGTCTTTTCATATCTTCTGCCCACTTTTTGACTTGATTATTTGTTTTTTGGGTGTTGAGTTTGAGAAGTTTTTTATAGATCTTGGCTACCAGCCCTTTATCTGTAGTGTCATTTGCAAATATCTTCTCCCATTCTGTGGGTTGCCTCTTTGTTTTGTTGACTGTTTCCTTTGCTGTGCAGAAGCTTTTTATCTTGATGAAGTCCCAAAAGTTCATTTTTCCTTTTGTTTCACTAGCCTTTGGAGCTGTATCTTGAAAGAAGTTGCTGTGGCCGATGTCCAAGAGGTTACTGCCTATGTTCTCCTCTAGGATTTTGATGGATTCCTGTCTCACATTGAGAGGTCTTTCATCCACTTTGAGTTTATCTTTGTGAATGGTGCTAGACAATGGTTGAGTTTCATTCTTCTGCCTGTGGCTGTCCAATTTTCCCAGCACCATTTATTGAAGAGACTGTCTCTTTTCCATTACATGTTTTTCCCTGCTTTGTCAAAGATTATCTGACCATAGAGTTGAGGGTCCATATCTGGGTTCTCTATTCTGTTCCACTGGTCTATATGTCTGTTTTTTTGCCAGTACCATGCTGTCTTGGTGATCACAGCTTTGTAATATAGCTTGAAATCAGGCAACGTGATGCCCCCAGCTTTGTTTTTCTTTTTCAACATTTCCTTGGCAATTGGGGTCTTTTCTGATTCCATACAAATTTTAGGATTGTTTGTTCCAGCACTTTGAAAAATGTCATTGGAATTTTAATCAGGATGGCATTGAAGGTATAGATTGCTCTGGGTAGCATAAATATTTTAACAATGTTTATTCTTCCAATCCATGAGCATGGAATATTTCAGAATCAGCTTTTTAAAAACATAAATCTCTTCCTGGCTTAATCCAACCCTGTCCATGCCTCCCACTGTAACTGGAACATAGCCAGTAGTCTTGCCATACCCTGCAAGAGCCTATATGGTCTGGCCTCTGCTTACGTCTACAATCTCACCTCCTACTTCTCAACCCTTTGTTCAATTTACCCTAACTAAATTGTCATTTCCTCTCTCCGATGGACCTGTACACCATGCTCCTTTTCACTCAATGCCCTTGGATTGCTGTTTCCTTTTGCTGATATACTTTTCCCCAGGCCTTCTTATAGATGTCTCCTCCCAATTTAGGTCTCAGCTCAGTTATTAGCTCCTCAGAAAAGCCTTCCCACCTTTTCTCTCCCTATTCATTAGATTTGGGGGAGAGTTCTGATTTTTTTTTTTAATCAATGTGCATCTATTAGTTTGATTTGTAAATTAAGGTAAAAATAAATGTATAAATAAACAAAAAAGGGTGCCTGGGTGGCTCAGTTGGTTAAGCGACTGCCTTCGGCTCAGGTCATGATCCTGGAGTCCCTAGATCGAGTCCCGCATCGGGCTCCCTGCTCGGCAGGGAGTCTGCTTCTCCCTCTGACCCTCCCCCCTCTCATGTGCTCTCTCTCATTCTCTCTCTCTCAAATAAATAAATAAAATCTTAAAAAATAATAATAATAAAAAAATTAAAAAAATAAAAAAAAGCTTCTCTAATCACCGTATATCACTTTGTTTTGCTTTCTTCATTGCAATCATCATTATCTCAAATTAAAATTTTCTTTATTTATGTGTTTTCTTGTTTATTGTGTGTTTCCCACTGTAATTTAAGCTCCATGAGAGAGGAGATTTGTTTCAATGAGGCATGTCTGCCATGTCAGCCAGTGTATCCCAGTGCCTACAAGGCCTTTTTGTGCATTGTAGACTCTCAATAAATATTTGTTAAATGAGTAGATTTCAGCTGCCCAAAAGAAGTTGTTTCCTTTGGCTGAGAATGGTCTTGTGCATTCATTTGAAAAGAGTGTTTAGTGAAATATTTTGCCCAAGTTGGGTTCCATTTGCTTCTTAAGATACTACTGCCAATACCCGTGCACATGGAATGGTTCCTTGACACAAATGAGAAAGGTCAACATACATGCAAAGCTTGTAACAAAGATGGCAAATAGATTGATATCTATATCTATTTCAGCATGTCAATGGAAAGGTTCACATCAAAGTGAAAATTGAAAAGCAAAGTTAATGCTGATTTGGATCTGATAGCTAATATCTGAGTTCTGCTTTCTAGGCAATTGTGAACCTTGTGGAGTTGCTGATGCTGAGGTGAAACCAGAACATGAGCCTACTCTAAACTGATTTGCAGCACAGTAAGAATGGAAGAATAAGAGGTAAGGACAGCTGCCTAGACACACCAAATAGGATACAAAGTTATGAGGACATGGTTATAACAAGTTATTTAGAATCAGGGCTTTGAGAAATAAGAGTTCTCATTGATTGAATGCCTACTGTATGCCCGGTCATTGTCTAGAATCTTTACAGAAACAGCGATGGTAGGTACTGTTTCCCTATAGCTATGTAAAAACAAGAGCAATAACTTAAACTAGATTTTTCAAATCCCAAAGCTGACATACTGTCCACTGCCCCACACGGTCTTCTTCTGATGATGCACTCCATTTATTTCTGTGACTCCTGGCACAGGTTTAGAGCCTGGCACAGCATCCTCATGGAATCATGCATAGCTGGACAGTAAATGCCTCTGCTGCCCGCAGAGGGGGCACCTAAATGTCCAAGCTGAGCTGGGTCCAAGGTTTGCTGACTAAGCAGGTTTCAAGTCTTGTGCTCACTCCTCTTCCTCCTCCCTTTCTTTCCCAGCAACCCCTGTAGCTCACCTTTGCTTCTGTCCACTGGGGAAAGCATCTTCCAGGTACTAATAAGAAAAATACTCTGGCCATAGTGTGAGGGGAAGAGGCAGCTAGGCAAAATCACTGCTGAGAACCTGGGCAGACTTAGGCAGTGTGATCTGAAGAGCTGAAGTGTGCAGCCCACAGAGAGAAAAAATGGGGTAGAATGCAAAATTGAAGAGGATGTGCTTAAGAGGAAAATCTTCCTGACAGAGATGAATTAGTTATGGGACTAACTCCCCAAGGTAAGGGATGTGGCTCCATTCCCTAACTCATGAGCAGAAGACATACTAGAGAGGACAAGCAGGAGATGGGGTGGGGGAGGGGGAGACATCAATGACTAATAGGTGCTTTCCACCTTTGAGTTTTATGAAGATGAATGGAGCACTTTTGAACGGAGGAATAAAAATAATAATAATAGGGTGCCTGGGTGGCTCAGTCGTTAAGCGTCTGCCTTCAGCTCAGGTCATGATCCCAGAGTCCTCGGATCGAGCCCGTCAGGCTCCCTGCTCAGCGGAAGTCTGCTTCTCCTTCTCCCACTCCCCCTGCTTGTGTTCCCTCTTTCACTGTGTCTTTGTCAAATAAATAAATAAAATCTTTAAAAAATAAATAAATAAATAAATAAATAAATAAATAAATAATAATAAAAATGAAGAGATAGAGCTGACTAAGGCACTGCAAAGATAAAGAGGAATAGAGACTTTGGGCCCTCATGCTGAGTGAGAAAAATCATTTCTTCCAACTGGGAGATAGAGAGGCAAGTGGTTCCAAGTTTTGAATTCAGAGTTCAGGTTCTGCCACTTGCCCATGATATGAACCTGAGCAAATTAATTAGCCTTTCTAAGTTACAAAATAGGAATAATACCCCATTTTATTGGTTATCTGTCACAATAAAATAGGGATAACATCATTGCAGAGGATTCTTATAAGATTGAGATAACTCATGTAAAATTCAGTGTCTAGCATGTAGTAAGCACTCATTGAATGACAACAAGTATTAATGGGTCATAGCTTTGTGCAGAGGGGAAATATAGCCAGGTCCTGTTATCAAGGTCAGATTATGAGAACAAGTTTTCCCTTTAAACTTAATGATGGTGCCTCCTTGGTTTAATTATTTGCTGTATCGATAGCCCACACCTTCTCTACTGACTTAGCTTTCAGCTCTCAGAGAAGATGAAGCTGAAGTATGATAGATACCACCCGTACTCATAGGCAAGCTTGCCAAAGAACAGCTCAACCCATGTTGACTTTCTGCATCATTCTGAAGATAAAACCATCTCCCCATGGAAGGGTGTTGTGCAAAGAAGATAATACTAATGACATTATACATTTATGCAATCTTTTACAGTTTACAAAGCACTCTTACTTGGGAAAGGTTACTATTGCTATTTTATTTTTCAAGATTATTTATTTGAGAGAGACAGGGGGTGGGGCAGACGGAGAGGGAGAGAGAGTCTTAAGCAGACTCTGTGCTGAGCGCAGAGCCTGATGTGGGCTTAGTCTCAAGACCCTGAGATCACAACCTGAGCGGAAACCAAGAGTCAGACGCTTAACCGACTTCGCCACTCAGGCGCCCCTACTATTTCTATTTTATAGATGAGGAGACAGAAACTTAGAGAGGTGAAGCTACTTGATTAAAATGACATAGATAATTGGTGGGTGGAGCACAGGTCCACACCCAGCTCCTCCAGACTTCCAGTCTGGAGCTCTTTTATACCACCAGATGCCATAGGGGATGGGAGCAGGTAGCAGATTAGAAAGCTAGTTGCTTCCAATCATAAAAACATTGAATTTTAGAACAGAAAGTAACTTTCAGATTACATAATACCATGGTTTTTAGACTGCATCCAAGGAATCCTGTAGGAGGTGGGGAAAACCAAGGAGGAGGTAGTATTGTATGCATCTCAGTTTTTATCAATTAATTTTATAACATTACAATGTATTTTGAATGAATGTCTATGGCATTAAGAGTTTCCTTTAAAAAGAATGAAGTTCGAAAACTCCTGATCTAGTTCAACTGCTTCATCTCTCCAGGAATGATACTGAGGCCCAGTCTGGTTAAGTAAGTTGTCCAAATCTCATAACTAGTTAGAAGCAGAATGAGGAATAACGCTGAATCCTCATTACCTGCATATTTTATGCTGTAAATGTCCTCATTCTCCAAATATTTTCCTCTGATTAACTCAAGCAAGTCATTTAAATCAAGAAGAAATAAGCCCTGAGGTTAGTCTCTCCTAATGACTCACTCTGGGACCTTGATCAGTCCACTGATCTCTGAACCTTTGGCTTTTCTGTAAGTAATATGGGATGATCATTCCTGTCTGGGCAGCTCTCAGTGGGGGTGTTGTGATGACTGTAAAAAAGAACATGTGGACTTTCACAGGGTTTTTCCAGGGAATGAGACTCAGCAAGTTCAATATCTTATTTACAAATGCCCACCAAGGATGTTATGCTTCCAAGGTGATCTCTACAATTTATCATCCCTATGTATTTGTTGTCCTTCATTTGAGAAGGAAATGTAGTTCATCTTTGTAACCATGTCAAGGTTTATGAAATAGCCTCAAAAACTGCTTAGCACATTGGCTTTCTGAGAGGACTATGACTTCTTACTACTTGCAGGGTGGTAAATCTTTTAAGGTTAAACTCCTTTCATTGTAGACATGTTATAAAGGAAACTATCACAACTGAGTTCTAGCAAACATGGGGGACCTAGAGCTAGATGAGATCAAAGGACTTACGTGCAAGTTACAGAGTTTAGAACCCTCCCACCTAACTGGCAGTTTTTCCTTCTTCAACAAGGAATACTAAGAAAATACTATCACTGACCTTCAGGCTGACCTTGAAAGCAGCCTAATGTACTTACGATCTTGGCTAAGTTCTTTATTTCTTTGAGCTTGTTTTCTCACTTATAAAAGGCAGATATGGCCTTCCCTTTCCACCTCATAGGGCCATCAAGGATCAAAAGAGAGAAAAGAGGGTGGCGAGTTTTTAAAACTGTGGAGTGTATGCTAACTAAAAGGATTGTCATTTTTAAAAATGTGTAAAATATGACAATTATTTGTAATGTGCATTTCAACTAAATCCTCTCAGTTTGTTAGAAATACCTACTTTGGAATATCAACTACTCACAATGAAGAAAGATGTTTCAAAGTATGCTGATGTCTATATAGAACGTAAAGTAGCCATACTGAGCAAGTCAAAGTTAGAGCTAAGGAATTACCTTAACTGGCATTATCACAAAACCAGAAATATTTTTCTATTTTCAATTAAGAATATTTTAAATTTAAAAAAATAAGAAATTAAACAGATCTTTACCAAAATTCTACTCTGGATGCCTCAAATTTCTAACTATATCTCTTGGAGAACAGCATTTCTATGATTATTCGTGTTGATACTTTAAAAAATCTGGACCTAGTTTCCATTATGCAGACAAACCACAGAAGCCAACCAATATTTTAAGACTGCAATGTTTACTAATGGATGTCTGGCTAGAAACAGTGTTGGCAGAATTCTGGCAGAGGGATTTACTCTCACTAATGATGTGGAACAGGGCTGCATAATCATGTCCACCTGGATTAAGTCTACCCAAGGCTGTCATATTTTGAAATGGAACCAGAAAAAAGCACCCCCAAAAGTCCTGGGATTTTCCTGGAAGAAGCATTACATCAGAACTGGTTTAGACCTTCCCAAAATCATTGCCCCAGCCATTCATTTCATTTGGGACGTCCTTTACAAAAATGACTTCACAAAGTAGAGTGGATATCAGACTCTTTTGCAAAATATTTAGAGACATGAAGACAGTATATCCTATATACAGGCCATCCCAGGCCAGGAAAAATCTTTCAAACATTTCTTTAGAAAACACATCAGCTACTTTTCTTGCAGATGTGCTAACAGATCCTTAAGGTAAAAGGACACTCGGTCCACACCCCCACCCTTCAACTCCATGCCCCAGGAAAGAAAGCTATTCCCAGTTATGCATTATCAATTTCTTTCCTAGCTATACCTGAGACTAGAAGCATCAGTAGTTATTCATCAATAAGGAAGAAGGACAATGACATTCATTTTGACTGTCTGGACATTGTTACTGTATCACTCTTTTGGGGGGAAGTAATTTCTGTCTATTAAAAGAGACAGATTCCAAACTAAGATATGTGGGAAATCATTTGGTGTTTAGTAGAATTCAAGTCATGCACATAGCCCTAAAAACTATAATTAAAAAGGAGCTAGGCAGGGAAAATTAATAACAGCAAGCCTTTAAAATGGAAATCCTTAGAATAAAGGAATAGCTGTTATCATATTAGTATTACTCTGTATTAAAGATGTCAAGATACTGTCATTGGATTTCTTTCCCTTCTATCTAGTTTCTAGACCTCCAAGGAATCTTCATTCTATTTTCTGAAATTAGATGCTGCTTCAAAGATTTTAGAAGTAAACCATGAAATGAGTACACTAAAGAAGCATTAATTTTTGCAGATTATTATTAAATAACATTTTTATCCCACACTAATAATTTAATCACAACATTTGTTAAATATCCCAAAGATAGTGTTATCTGAAACCAAATCTGGTTGTTTCAAATGGATAGGAACTTGGCTGTGGAGTAGGAAAAGGTCCTGTATCTCTCCCCTCATTGCTCCCTCCTCCCTTCTTCCCTTCCTCCCTTCCTTCCTTCCTTCTTTCCTTCCTTCCTTCCTTCCTTCCTTCCTTCCTTCCTTCCTTCCTTCCTTCCATTCTTCCTTTTTGCACTCATATGGCCTTATGATGCACTGTGTCTATACCAGGGCAACATTTCAGTGGAAGGGGTACCTCGGGAAACTGCCAAATGCTTGTGTGGTAGCATTCAGACAAGGAGGCGTATTTGCAACACGTGATGCTGTAGTCACTGCTGCTCCCATATGTCCTCTCTCAAGATGTTTGTGCCTCCATGTTTGATGTAGATGTCGCCAAAGACTATCCCTTTAATTTCTTTAATTTTTAACATTGTCAAAGTTAATATATGCCCTTTGCTTTTCAACATCATCAATGTTAAACCTTTTAATTTTTAACATTTTAAAGTTAATATAAACTCCATTAAATGCTTCTCAGCTGATCAAACACAGGAATGATCACTATGAACTAGTCATATTAATAGTTTTTTCAGTGGGGAGCCAGTAAATTTTTCTGGTGATGATATTGTCAACAGTTAAATGAGATCTACCTTTATTTATAATATTATTTTGTATGCAAAGTATTATCATCCTCAACACCTCATTGGAGACTCTGCTCACAGTTCACCGCTCCAGACTTCTTCCCTGTTTGCGCCATCTCATCACCTCTCCTCCCCGTGTCACCTCCCCTTCCACCTCTCCACCTGCCCCCTACCCCTGGAGCTTTAATCTCTGTATGTGCATCAGCTCCTGTTTTCATCCTTCCAAGCGTTGTTAACACAAGGTATTATGTGTAGTAGATTTTACTAAGCCTGTTGGTTTCCTGGGGCTGCCATAGCAAAGGACCACAAATTGAGTGGCTTAAACAGCAAAAGTTTGTGGGGCGCCTGGGTGGCTCAGTTGGTTAAGCGACTGCCTTCGGCTCAGGTCATGATCCTGGAGTCTCGGGATCGAGTCCTGCATCGGGCTCCCTGCTCGGCGGGGGGGGTCTGCTTCTCCCTCTGACCCTCTTCCCTCTCGTGCTCTCTGTCTCTCATTCTCCCTCTCTCAAATAAATAAATAAAATCTAAAAAAACAAAAAAAAAACAGCAAAAGTTTGTTGTCTCAAAGTCTGGAAGCTAGAAATCTGAAATCAAGATGTTGGCAGAGTTGTTCCTTCTGAGAGCTGTGAGGGAAGGATCTGTTCTAGGCCTTTCTCCTTGACTTGTAGATGGCTGTGTTCTTCCTGTGTCTCTTAACATTGTCTTCCCTTTATGCATGTCTCTGTGTCCAAATTGCCCCCTTTATAAGGACACCAATCATGTTAGATTTGGGACCAGCCTAACAATCTCATTTTAACTTGATTATCTCTATAATGATCCTATCTCTAAATAAGGTGACATTCTGAGGTACCAGATGTTAGGACTCCAACACATCTGTTTTAGGACACAACTCAACCCATAACACTAATGCTTAAAGATAACACATAGGAAATACAAAACAGAAAAAAACAAACAAACAAACAAACAAAACTTAAGCTAAATCTCAAGTGTCATTGTCAGAGAATCTATTGGCTATGTCTGGCATAGAGTCTGATTCTCTCTATCCTTCTGTCCAAACTGTCATATTTCCAGGGCCAGCTCACCATCCTGGATGGAAATCTGATGGTATACATGCCTCTCTCCCTGTGATGGTTAATTTTATGTGTCAGGTTGACTGGGCTACAGGGTACTTGGATATTTGGTTAAACATTCTGAGTATTTCTGTGAGGGTGTTTTTGGATGAGACAAACATTTAAATCAGTATGCTAAGTAAAGTGTATTGCTGACCATAATGTGAGTGGGCCTTGCCCAATCAGTTGAAGGCCTGACTTGAATGCAAGGCTAACCCTTCCCTGAATAAGAAAGAATTCTCCTACTTGACAACCTGCAAACTAGGACATCAGCTCTTCCTAGTTCTACAGCAGCTTCCAGCATGAGACTCAACTGGGACACTGGCTCTGTAGAATGTGCATGTCCCTACCTCCCACCCCCCCCACACAGGTACACTATTGGTTCTGTTTCTCTGGAGAACCCTGACTAATATGCTCCCTAAGGCCACATCCTACCTAATAAAGAACAACCACAAATAACATTAAGTATCCCTTCAGGATTGCAATCTATCTGCTACAGGGCCAGCCCTTTATCTTACTAAATACTGTACCCAAATCCTCCAATCTTAGGCCTTTATATCTGGGTTATTCCCCAAAGTTTCACTCATTCTTATGACCAAAAATGCTCCCCCATTGGTCTCTCCAAGAGCCTGCCCCAAAGACAAAATCCAGCTCTCAATTTTAGTACAATCATGGATTAAGAAATAGTGAGGCCCGGGGGCACCTGGGTGGCTCAGTCGTTAAGCGACTGCCTTCGGCTCAGGTCATGATCCTGGAGTCCCAGGATCGAGTCCCGCATCCGGCTCCCTGCTTGGCGGGGAGTCTGCTTCTCCCTCTCCCGCTCCCCACTCTTGTGCTCTCTCTCTCTCATTCTCTCTCTCAAATAAATAAATAAAATCTTTAAAAAAAAAAAAAAAAGAAAGAAATACTGAGGCCCAAACTCAGAGCACTCTGCTATATGCCCAGAACTTCTTACATACTCTTTGCATACATGTCAAATCATAGAGTACCTCTCAAGTTCTCCTCATCTCATTCCATCTAAGGCTTTTTGTGCAACTAGATAATTTCTTCTATAGCTTAATATTTCATGCGTGTGACTTTGTAAAGAATTAGCCTTGTCTAATTAAGACTCAGCACAAAACCCTCCAAAGTTTAAACAGATCAGAGCTGAACCAAATCAGACTCTTGAAATCAAGAGTGTTTCTAGGTTGGAAGGAAAGGACAACTCCCCCTGACTCTGTGCTTGACTTTCATCTTCACTTTGGGTTTCTGTTTTCCAGATTCTCTATGTCACTACATCACCTGGTCACATCTCATCTAAAGCTGTGTGGTTCCCCTTTAAATTTTTCAATGTGGACAAAAATGTTTTTCCTTGGTGTAACTAAGACAGGCTGGTATTTTCAAGAACAGCTTTACTAAACATGAGGGAAAACAGAAAACAAATAATTACAGAAAACATACATGATATAAAAATAGCCAAGTTTCCAACTGCAGGTTTCTGTTTCTAAAAATTCCATTAAAAGTAGGAAAGTTTTACTGGGCCTCAATTTCATTTACCCTTAGTCAACCACATCCCTTAATTTTGCTATATCCTGTCTGGACTCCTTCTCTCCCACCTCCAACACCTCATCTATCCCTGAGCCCTATAATCTTGAGCTGCTAGCTTAGTTTTTTGAATCCATATCCCAAGGAAAAAATACCCAATAACTTACTTTTAAAACTATCATTCTCCTAATAAAAATACCCTGGACTCCCAAAGACCTGCCAGAATGCCTGCTTACAAGAGGTTTTCAAGTTCTGATGTTGAAGAGCCACTGGGTCTCCAACATTAACTCTTCTCAATTCTGATATTAAATCAGCATAGAACAAACTGCATTCCAGGAAATGGTCCCTGGGATAGTGAATATTCTTTACAATGGCAGATAGGGTTCTGAGCTCAAATAAATTTGAAGAATGTAGGGTTAAACTAAGTTTCACAGTTTTCGCCAATACATAATTTCTCAAATCATTTCATGCAGTTGGCAAATACTTATTGAGAGCCTATTATGTGCCAGGCACTGCTCCAGGCCCTGAACAAATCCTGATGAAGAATGAGCAGAACAGATAAAACCCTACCCTGTCTTCATAGAATTCACTTTCTAGGCGGTTCCCAAAAAAAGGTGAATGACCAAACAAACAAGTAAGATCTCAAATAATGGTAGGGACTGTGAAGACATTAAGGGGTGATGTTACAGGGAAGAACTGGAGTTGGGGAAATACAGACAGCAGAGGGAACAATGAGTCCACAGACCTGGCAGGACAAAGCTTGGCATGTTGGAAGAAGAAAGAGAGCCTCTGTGCTGGAGCTGAGAAACTGACCAAACAGGAAAGTGCATGTCAGGAGATGATCTTAGAGGACGTGGTAAGAAGGAAGATTTGACCGTTGGTGCAGTGGAAAGCAATATGAAGGGCTTTAAGCCTTAGCACAATCTAATACTACAATTTGAAAAAAAGAAATTTCCTTGGCTGTTGTGTAGAGAATGGAATTTAAAGGCCATGATTACAGGTGGAGACCAGTTAGGAGTCTCTTACAGTAGCTCACCTGAGAGATGATGATGGGGTTGTCAGAACAGGTAGAGAGATGTGGATGGTGCCAGCATGTTTTTCAGGAGTGAAGAAAACAGGGCTTCCTGATGGGTTAATGTGGGAAATAGGGACCAGAGAGAAGACAGTGATGATTTGTAGCTCTTGGGCTTGAGCTTGAGCAGTTAATTAAAGGTAGAATTATTAACTGAGCAAGCAAAGACTAAGGAAGCAAAGACTTACAGGGGTGAAGGAAATCAAGGGATTGTTTTATCCACATTCTGTTCAAGAAACCTATTACACATGTAAGAGGTACTATCAAGTAGACAGATATATCTAGGAGTCTGGAGCTTAGGAGAAAGGTCTGTGATATAAACTGGGAAATCATTGGCATTGAGGTGGTATTTAAAGTCATGGATCTGGACGAGATCATCTAGGGAGAGTGTAGAGAGGAGTTAAGGCCCAAAGCCAACCCCCAAAGGCACTTCGAATTGGGAAATCTGGTACAGAGGAGGAGCCAGCAGAGAAGACTTTTAACATGTTCTTGTGCATTAATGACTCCTTACAAGGCAATACAGAAGGCAGCATTTCCCAAACTTATTTGACCTCGGGACATTTTGTCACATAGCATCTCACAGGGATAGGGTCCCAGTGAAAGCATTTCGGGAAATATTGTTCATAACTTTCTAGCTGCACCCCACTGTAGCATAATATATTAACTTCTAAGGTGACATAGGCAAGTCTTCTCCCTCTAAGCAGAGAGGTATTTCAATGAAAGCCCATCAGTTGCTAAGCAAAACACTGCGCTGATGATCCAGGCCAAAAAATGTACCTGCAGGAAATACATAGGAGCCAAATGCAGTCAGAAGGAAGGAAGGCTGTTCCACCATCGCTTCACTGAGCCAAAGCTCACATGCTGGCTCTTTTCGCCTTTTTACATTAATAATAGTTATTTTGGTGGAGGAGTGAGATTGAAGGTCTGAGGAGAGGTCCAGGAGGAAATGCTCTTTTTTTGGTGAATTATGTAACTTTTTTTCCAAAATGCTAGCATTTGGGTGTTTCTACCTATATACACTACACCAGAGTATCATTTGATGCTCTGGAAAAAGTTAATTTAGATAAAGATTTTTCTCCATTTTCTAGTTAGTTTTTTTGGTTTTGTTATAAAGAACAGAAACTCACTCATGTATATTATTGGGATCTGAGGCAGCCCTAAGGACAAGATTCTCTCTAGGACCCATTTTCCCTCCCCTTCTCTCTCTCTCTTTCTCTACCCACTCCCCCCCTCCCCCCCCATAGGCCAGAGGCTGTATGGTCTTTCTCTCATAGTATCTCTGAGACCTTTCACATTACATTACGCACTAAGAAATCGTAATAAAATCCTCTACATTTGTATAGCACAGTCTAAGTGGACCACACATGTTATGGACTAAATGTTTGTGTCCCTGTAAAATTCATATGTTGAAATCCTTAACCTTCAACGTGATGGTATTAGGAGATGGGGCAGTAATTGGGACGTAATTAAGTCTTGAGCACTGAGCCCTTATGAATGAGATTAGTACCCTTATAAGAAGAAACACAAGAACAAACTGATGGTTGCCAGAGGGGAGAGGGCTGGGGGGAATGAACAAAATGGATAAAAAGGAGTGGGAGATACAGGCTTCCAGTTATGGAATGAATAAGTCATGGCAATAAAAGGTACAGCAGAGGGAATGTAGTCAATGGTATTGTCATTGCATTGTACAGTATAGCTACGTTTGCAATGAAAATAGCATAATGTGTAAACTTGTTCAATCGCTATGTTGTATACCTGAAGCTAATGTAACATTATGTGTCAACTATACTCAAATTTAAAAAATTAAAAACAAGAAGAAAAAAAAACAAGAGAGATGCTATCTGTCTCTCTCTCTCAGCTGTGTGAGGATACAAGGAGAAAACAGTCATATGCAAACACAAAGAGTTCCTTCACCAGACCCCAGATCTGCTGGGGCCTTGATCTTGAACTTCTAGCCTCCAGGACTATGAGAAATAAATGTTTGTTGTTGGAGCCACCCCGTCAGTCTGTGGTATTCCTCTCTAACAGCCCAAACTAAGAGAATACAGTCTTGGAGGTTTGCTTTGTAAACAAAGAGACCAAGACCTAGGGAGGAGAGACACAACCCAGTGGAAGGAGCCCTAGATGGGTTTGATAGACCTAAATTGTGCCTTTGTGTGACTGTAGACAAATGGCTTCATCTGAGCCTCAAATTCTGCAGAGGGAGAAGATTGAGAAGGGGTAAGTGATTTTCAATATGCATTTTTTTTTAGCATTTACAGTCTGATTTTATGATTTTGAGATGGAGTATCTTGGCTGAGATCATACGGTTAGGTGGTTCATAGCAGAGTAGGATCTACTTGTTCTATATCACCTGGTCCAGTGTTTTGCTTCATGACACCACACTGTATTTCCATTAAAAAAATTTTTTTATTTCAACTAATTTTTCTCATCGTATTTCCATTAAAAAAATTTTTTTATTTCAACTAATTTTTCTCATCTATTTGTATTGCTATGAAAACACTGCATAAGGCAGCATTGTGCAGTGCAAAAGCATAAACTTTGAAACCAATGAGACCTGGGTTTGGATGTAGGTCTACTTTTAGGTCTGTGACCTTGGAGCAGCTACTTAACTACCCTCTTCAGTCTCATTTTGTCATCTGTAAGACAAGTGTATATAATACCTGCCTTATCAGATCGCTGATCAGATTGAAATTGTGTCTAAAAAGCATCATGGTCATAGCAGGTACAGATATTCTTAGTCCATTCAGGCTGCTAACAGAAATTTACTTCTCACATTTTTGGAGCCTGAGAACTCCAAAATCAAGGCTCTGGCAGATCTGGTGTCTGGTGAGAACCCACTTCCTGGTTTGCAATGGCAGAAAAGGGGCTAGCTAGTTCTTGGCCTTTGCTTATAAGACACTAATCCCATTCATGAGGGCTGTGTTCTCATTACCTAATCATTCCCCAAATCATGCCCCACTTCCTAATACCTTCACACTGGGGATTAAGATTTCAACATACGAATTTTAGGAAGATACATTCAGTCCCTAGTACAGTCCATCTCACATTTCACATCTCCCTCCTTCTTAATGATTTGGGGAGATAAGGAATTAAAGCAAAGAGTTCGTGAACCAGGATGGGGATGGGGCCTGCATGTTCCGTGTAAGTAATATTTATTCAGGAAAACATTTTATTTCAATCAGTCTTGTTGAAAGCCTTTTCAAAATATTGGTCCATGCTCCTCCTTTGGAAACCACACACTCTGAATATAATTGAATCTTTCTTGATGATTGAAGACCTTGCCATGCCTCAGGCTTATTATTCAGAACTTATTCAGCTGCTTGGATAAATACGCAGAAGGTGCAAAACTTAGTTGGAATGTGTTGAACTCAGGAAATCTTCTAGAAGTTTGTTATTTACGTTGAATCGAAATCTTTGTTAACAGCTTTTTTGTGGTTCAGACTTCTAAATAGTGCAAACATTCCATTTATAGATGAGGTTATTCGATATTGTGTTCTGGTTAAACAAATGATCAACAGATTTTTTTCTTTTTCTTTTTTTTTTTTTTAAAGATTTTATTTATTTATTTGAGAGAGAGAGAGAGCACAAGAGGGGGGAGTGGGAGAGGGAGAAGCAGACTCCCTGCCGAGCAGGGAGCCCGATGCGGGACTCGATCCCGGGACTCCAGGATCATGACCTGAGCCGAAGGCAGTCGCTTAACCAACTGAGCCACCCAGGCGCCCCAGATTTTTTTCTTTGAAGGACTAGTTTGTTGAAGGACCTGAAGCAGGCATTGTTTTGAACATGAGGGAATATGAAGATTAGTTGGAGGCCTTAAGGAATGGATAGCCTCATGGGGGGAGGGACAAAACATAAACTCATAAAAAAATACCTATAGCAAGAGCCAATGAAAAAGAGAAGTCTTCATAAAGAAGTCAGTACTTGAAATGGGACTTGAACCATGTAGGATTTGGACCAGTCATGGTCAGTGGTAAGAAGAATGTTTGATAGGGAAGGGTCGTTAAAGTGGAGGGAGGGAATAGTTTGACTAAATGCACAGGGATGGGGAAGCTTGGGGTATAGCCAGAGGACCACAAGTTGTTCATTTCAGAGATAATTAAGGTTAACAAAAGATATTTAGTTGGGACATTCCTGGTTTTTGATAATATGTGCTGAATAGCCAGATGTCTTGAAAAGTGTTTCTCAGGCTCCTGTAGTTGTAGGAAACTATCATCTACCGTACATGCTTTTGTAAATTATTTTATCTCTGTGGGCCTATAATATATATGTCACAAGAGAATTCATAGGGTTTCCAATTTTCCTGTTATTAGAGGCCTAGAATCATTTCTTGGACACCAAAGGTGTCTAGTACACCAGAAAGCCCTACCAAGATCCATTCTCCTTTGTAGAAAACAACTTTTAGAGCCACGGGATAGGTCCTGGGTTTGGATCCTCATTGCCCCTCCTTAAACACCTCAAGCCGGGAGTGTGGAGGAAGGAGAGAAACAGGTTTCTCTAATCTCCCCACTTGCCTCACCTGCCCCTTATTTGCCAGCCCAGCCCTATGCCCACTCCCATTCCACACTGGCTCCTTAAAAACAACATCACTTTCCTCAGAGGGAAAGACGACAGCCTTTCATCTAACTGGTCAATGGACTTACATACTCCTTTATGAAAGTGGAAAATGAGAGGAAGAAGGGAAAAATCTGTGCAGGACCCTGGTGTTATAGGACATAGTCTGCTTTGTGGAAGCCATCAGTCCCAGCAGAGGTTAAAAAAAAAAAAAAAAAAAAGCAAGACGTAGCAATGTGAGCAATGTGTATATTCCACATTAAATTATCTGGGCAGTGAGCCTTTTGTTAAAAATTGCTGGATGGACCATCTCGTTAACATTTCCAACTATTGATTGACTCTGATAAGGAGAGAAAAGAAAGATTGTTGGGATTCTCAAACTCAGCATTCCACATGTAAAGCAAATCTAGACTATGCCAAAGAACATGACCTTTTTGCTTTTTAAGGAGGCAGACATTTTATCCTGGACACCAAACGGGAGGGCAGTTGGTGTTACTCCCTGTATAGGGCCAAGGTTCCCTTCTAGTCTTCTCTTTTTTTGTTGTTGTTACTGTTTTTCCATATTTGACCTCTTTGTTCCTGCCCTTCACCTTCAATCATAAATGTAAAACTGCTCACTATACAATGAAAAGCTCCTTTCCTAACAAGGCACAGGGCCAGAGTGGTATAATTGGAAGGAAACTCAGAAGCATTGAATTCACCCTTCTGGCTTTTGAGATAAGGAAAATGAGGCCCAGAAAGATAAAGTGGCCTTATTGACTATGGACAGTGTGGATGGAAGCAAGTGGTGGCTCATGTAGTGTTAGTCAGTTTACAGAGTGTTACCAAGCATGTGATCGCATAAAAACCTGTGTGATGTAGGTGAGATTATTATGATTCTTGTTTTTTTTTTTAACAGGGGAGGAAACTGAGACCCAGAGAATTCTCCCATAAGGAGAAAGAGCACATACCTTTTCATCAGGGAAACTGCCCATGACAAAGCCTAGTGGTTCTGAAATGCCAAACTCTGTTCTGAAGGGCTAGGCATTCAAAGATTGGTAAGATGCTGCCGGTGTGCTCATCTCTCTGAGAGGAAGGTTGTCAGTCTTTCCCCAAGGCCACCCGCAGGGCATCCCTAATGCTATCAAAACACTACCTGACTCCTGAAAGGACTGAGTTCCATGTAGCCATTTGACGCCCTCTAAACATGGTTTTGTGGAAACCTTAGAAAGGGCCAGCTCTTCTGCAGAGGAATCTACATTTTAAACTACACAAACCTTAGGGGCACCTGGGTGGCTCAGTAGTTAAGCGTTTGCCTTCAGCTCAGGTTGTGATCCCAGGGTCCTGGGATCGAGCCCCACATCGGACTCCCTGCTCAGCGGGAAGCCTGCTTCTCCCTCTCCCACTCCCCCTGCTTGTGTTCCCTCTCTTGCTGTGTCTCTCTCTGTGTCAAATGAATAAATAAAATCTTTAAAAATAAAGAAAGAAAGAAACTACACAAAACTTAGAGTCTCTGTAATGTGAAAAGTAAATAAAGTTGGCTCAGGATTATGGAGGCATTCAGAGTTTAATTGGAAATAGAGGTGGGATGGGGATGAACTAGGGGTTTTCGGGACTCCTCTCATCCTGTCTTTTACTATTCTTTGTGAGAAGCACCCACCTCAGTGACCCTTCCTCTTCAGAGTGGCACTGACAAGCATACACTCTTTCCCCTCCCTTTTATTCATGGGGAAAGAATCTGATCACCAACTAGATCATACTTTCATAGATGGTGAAAAATCATTTGGAACTTCTGTTCATCTAAGACAAGGGTCAGCAAACCACTGCCTCTAGGCTAAATCCAGCCTACTGCCTATTTTTGTAGGCTCATGAGGTAAGGACAGTTTTTACATTTTTAAGTGGTTGGAAAAAATAAAAAAAAGAATAATATTTCATGCCACATGAATCTTATATTAAATTTAATTTCAGTGGCAATAGATAAAATTTTAGTGGAGCACAGACACTTTTATCATTTGCATCTTGTTTATGGATGCTTTTGTGCTACAACAATGGGGTCTAGTAGTTGCAACAGAGATTATATGGCCTGCAGAGCTTAAAATATTTACTATCCAGCCCTTAACAGAAAATCTTTGCCAACCCCTGTCTTAGAGCACTAATCATACTGTATGAGAACTGACTCTATGCATATCCATCTCCTAAACTAGATTTTGGAGCTTGTGAAAGGCTCTCCTTTGCTTAGAATGAACCTTTACTCTGGGTTGGCACTCTGTACATGTCTGTAGGATAAAAAGAAAAATATATCAATGATGTGGGTTTGGGCAAGTCACTTTTCATTTCTGGGCCTTAGTTTCTCCTTTTGTGAAATGAAAGAGTTGGCTAAGGTGACCTTGGTCCCTTTTAGTTCCAACATTCTATGTTTTAAGGTTACTGCAGCCAAAAATAAACATCATGTTCAGTTCACTGAATCTTCTTTTTTATAACTTTGTGTTCTCCCTTAGTGACTTTCTGAATGTTGGCTGGTTTCTCAGGTCTGCCAGTACCATGAATTTACTGGATCATATGATGTTAGTGTTGTGTGCATTGCCTACTGTGTGGAAATTCATTATCAATCAATAACTTCCTTTTCTTCATGGCTGCCTGTCTTATGTGAGTCTAGTGACATGAACGATTTTCTCAGGGCCTGGTCACTATTAAGAATCTGAACATGTGGAGTCCAGAGACCACACTCTGGATTTATGACCAACCCCCACCTCCATCAAGATGCATCCACATGGGGCGCCTGGGTGGCTCAGTTGGTTAAGATGCATCCACATGGCCTAGAAAACAGCCATCTGCCATTACTTAGAAAATCTCACTACGGGCGCCTGGGTGGCTCAGTTGGTTAACCGACTGCCTTCGGCTCAGGTCATGATCCTGGAGTCCCTGGATCGAGTCCCACATCAGGCTCCCTGCTCGGCGGGGAGTCTGCTTCTCCCTCTGACCCTCCCCCCTCTCATGTGCTCGCTCTCTCTCATTCTCTCTCTCTCAAATAAATAAATAAAATCTTTAAAAAAAAAAAAGAAAATCTCACTAAGAAAAATTTAGTACTTGGAAAATAGTGGCATTTTCAAACCAAATGGATATAAAAGTTCTCCTCCAAACTTCACAAGTGCACACGGCCATGCCCTAAGGTGCTGATTGGTGGACACTGTCATGGCACAAAGGTTATATGGCCTGATGTGTTGTCAATGGGATTTGATTTGAGTAATTATCCTGCACTGTTTCATCCCAGAAGGGTCATTTCCGCTCCCCAACCCCATCACTGTTAAGGGGACAGAAAATCTTAGAATTGAGGCACATGGGATGTGAGGAAGCATGCTTGCCATAAGTTTGGCCCAATGAAGGCTTCCTGTTCAGCAGCCAAGACCAGACCTCATGCAACAGGTGAAATTTGTTTTCTGGACTCTTCTCTTCCCTTTTCTACTTCTTCCCAAGTTTCTAACACTGTCCATTCATCTTGGGCCTCTGCTATGATGCCCCAGGCATGGGAAACACCCAAACTTTTAGTGCAATATCTCCTTTCCCTTTGTTTTTAAAATGAAGGGTAGTGAGGTATAGTGGAAAAGTGCAAAGCACTGAAAATCATGTTAATCATGTTAGTCTGAGATCCAGTTCCTCCGATCCTTGGTGGAGTCTTAGTTCCTATTATCCGCTTAATGAAGATGATACCTACTCTACTTATCACCTAGAGTCCCTTACAGGCAAGGATCATGCATTATTTATTCTTCTTTTTATCTTGCCCTGCTCAGTACATAGCATGCAGTAGACACTTGGCAAGTGTCTGAACAAAATTGAACTGACTTTACGTATAATCTTACATGGATCATGACATGTAGAGTGTTTGAACTAAAAGGAGCTCAAAGACCTACTCAGTTCACTGTCAGCAAATAATAGGCAGACATGCCCCACTTCTCACTTCTGTGCTAAATGGTCCAAAACAGTCACTATAGTCTTTCCAGCTGAGTGCCTTTTTTTATCCGAGCTTCACAATCTTCAACAAAGTTCTCTGAAAGGCCACTATCATTTGACTAAAATTATCACTGAAGGAAAAAAAAATAGGATATAATTCTGGTTTGAGTTCAACTTCCACCTTATAAATGAAGAAACATAGACCTAAGAAGATGATATGATTTGGCAGAGGTCACAGAACTAATTGCAAAGTGAGTTGGAACTAGAATATAGGTCTCTAGTTTCTTCATCCAGTGCTCTATCCACTACATAATATTTGCGTTCTGATAGAAGTTACAATGCCTTCAAGCCAAGGAGTGAGCACTGGGGGAAATTTCTAGCAAGGACAAATGAGTATGGGAGGCAGGGAGGGAGGGAATATAGGAGGGCCTTAGAGTCATAGAGTCTCCCTGTCAATTCAGAAGGCAAGTAAGATATTCAGCAACTTTCACTGAAGACCTCTTTCAGGCGAAGGTGCAAGGCCCCAGAGATCTAGATAGATAAAATAAGGACTCCGCCCCAGGACTTATAGACCTGTAAACAGTGAAAAACCAAGTAAGATGATAAGTGAGCTAACAGAGATATGCTTAGAGCCCTCCAAGGGCCAGAGGGCATGATCCAGAGAAGTCAAGGAGGGCTTAACTTCTGAGCTAATTGTTCCAAAAAGAGTTATGGTTCTCCTACAGACCTGTACCCCTGAAACAAATAATACATTGTATGTTAATTTAAAAAAAAAAAGAGTTATGGGTCTCCAAAGCAAAGAAGGGAAAGGGTATTCCATCAGAAGGAACTGTGTGCAAAGGTATGGTCTGAAAGAGCTTGGCATATAAAGGGACTAGCAAAGAGTTCTGCATGGAAGAAACATTGATATGTGGCAAATGGAGGAGAAGAAGGGAGGGGATTAAGAACAGTATCAGGAGGGGCGCCTGGGTGGCTCAGTTGGTTAAGCGACTGCCTTCGGCTCAGGTCATGATCTCAGGGTCCTGGGATCGAGCCCCACATCGGGCTCCCTGCTCAGGGGAGACCCTTTTTCTCCTTCTCCCTCTGCTGCTCTGCCTACTTGTGCTCTCTCTCTCTGTGTCAAATAAATAAATAAAATCTTAAAAAAAAAAAAAAAAAAAGAACAGTATCAGGAAAGGGACCTGGAGAGAGAAGCAAAAGCAGCCTGCTTTGAAGGAGTCTACAAAGATTGATAATACATATATATAAATAATTATAACACGTGATAGAACAATCTAATGCTTTTCAGACCACCAAAGGAAGTGCAAGGGAGTCAGAGAAGGGAGAGATGATTTCCCACTAGTGGTTGGAGACTATATCACTGATTAGCTGGGCAGAGTTAAAATTGGTCCTTTTAAATTTTGGGGATTCAAGTAGAAGTTAAAGATCTGCAGTATAATTACATACCCAGTCATGTTCTTTTTGGATCATATCTTTAACTTAATAGACCAGATCCTAAATCCACCACACTGCCCAGTGGCATGCCCATTCCCATTATATAACATATTGTATATTTTGTTCACCATTCTATTGCCAGCACCTAGAACCATGCCTGGCACCTTGTAGGTATCAAATAAATATTCATAGAATCAGTCTTTTAAATGATGTGTTTTTACCATGGCAACCACATACACTAGATTTTCCAGAGAGTCTTTAAAATATCCCGTCCTTTAGTTGCCATTAGTACAACTATATTTGTCATGCATCTGGAGTTCTGACTTAGAAAATATGGTAACAAAACTCGTAGATACAACATAGGAAAGTTTCATTGTCATTGTCAAAAACTCCCTATGCCAGCTTGGGTATTTGGGAGGGATATGGGAAGGGAATATGGTTTTATGTAGAGTATACCGTTTCTGGGCTGGAGGCCTCAACCACTCCCTTCTGCATGGTTGGCTGCCCGTGTGGTCTCAGACAAGAGCAGCCTCTCCTCATTCTTTGCCCACTGAACTCACAAGCTTTGGGAGTCTTGGATGAAAGTAGAAAGCATTAGCATCTTGAAAAGGATGTAGTTGGGGTGCTTGTGCCTTGTATGGGTCTTTCCAAACAAGTTTCTGGCTGTCCTATTGGGAGAGGAAATCTCCAACATCTGCAGAAATGAAAGAGTGTGTTGTTACAAACTTAGCATCTGCCCAGCACTCCCTGAAATATAACATTTAATGTGCTTGATTATTACTATCAAGTAGGTCATCAGTGAAAACCATTATCAACCCTATAATGTTCTTCATTTTTTTCTCCTTCTTCCTCACCTCTCCCTCTTCTTCTCCTCCTTCTCCTCCTCCCCCTCCTCCTCCTTCTTCTTCTTCCACTGTCCTTCAATTTTTGTTTGGCTTTAGATTCAGATGTCAAAATTACTGGGTGCACATAGATTTTTTTTTTTTTGAATTGAGGAAGAGGCTTGCATTATATTCTGACTTTTCACAGCCTATTTCTTTTTTTTTAATTCTTATGTTAATCCCCATACATTACATCATTAGTTTTAGATGAAGTGTTCCATGATTCATTGTTTGTGCATAACACCCAGTGCTCCATGCAGAATGTGCCCTCCTCAATACCCACCACCAGGCTAACCCATCCTCCCACCCCCCTCCCCTCTAGAACCCTGTTTGTTTTTCAGAGTCCATCGTCTCTCATGGTTCGTCTACCCCTCCGATTTCCCCCGCTTCATTCTTCCCCTCCCGCTACCTTCTTCTTCTTCTTTTTTTTTTCTTAACATATATTGCATTATTTGTTTCAGAGGTACAGATCTGAGATTCAACAGTCTTGCACAATTCACAGCGCTTACCAGAGCACATACCCTCCCCAGTGTCTATCACCCAGTCACCCCATCCCTCCCACCCCACCCCCCACTCCAGCAACCCTCAGTTTGTTTCCTACAATTAAGAATTCCTCATATCAGTGAGATCATATGATACATGTCTTTCTCTGTTTGACTTATTTCACTCAACGTAATACCCTCCAGTTCCATCCACATCGTTGCAAATGGCAAGATCTCATTCCTTTTGGTGGCTGCGTAATATTCCATTGTATATATATACCACATCTTCTTTATCCATTCATCTGTCAATGGACATCTTGGCTCTTTCCACAGTTTGGCTATTGTGGACATTGCTGCTATAAACATCGGGGTGCACGTACCCCTTCGGATCCCTACTTTTCACAGCCTATTTCTATCTCCTAGAAGATTTTGCATCCCTTCTGCCTTTCTTAATGGTTTTATCATTCTCCCATTCACCCAAAATAAAAATCCTTAGATCTCCTCTATTTCTCTCACCACTTCATTCTTGAGTCCTCTTAATCTACCCCAAATTATCCTCACAGGTATCTCCTCTCGTCTGCCACCTTAATTGAGGCTCTCAATCAGCCTCTTAACTGACCTCCCTGATCTCCTAATCAGAGCAGCCTTTGCACTGCTCCGTAATCATGTTAAGACTGTGACACTGTCCTCCTCTGAAGCCATGGGCGGCTCCTCATCATACAGGGAATAAAATACAAAATCTTTGGCATGCTGTTCAAGACCATGTTGAGTCTTGCCAGTGCTTTACCAGCCAACCTTTGGAAATGAAAAATCTATTCAAGAAGAACAAATTTCTAAGATAAACTGGATATATTACATAAAAGCTATTGTCCAAAAATCTGCAAAAAGAATATGTGTGTATGCATGTAAATAGATAAATGTATACACACACACACACACACACACACAGTGTTATAAGTGGTTATTAAGGTTTCTAGGCAAGCCCACAAGTCTATTCAATATATAATTGTAGGCAAACTACTGTGCATGTGTAATTTTTAAAAAATTACTCAGCAATGGCAATAAATACAATAGGAAAACCACTAAAATTTTAAGTTATTTTTAAGAAATAGATCCTGAGGGGCGCCTGGGTGGCTCAGATGGTTGGGTGTCTGCCTTCAGTTCAGGTCATGATTCCAGGGTCCTGGGATCGAGCCCCACGTCAGGCTCCTGGCTCAGTGGGGAGCCCACTTCTTCCTCTCCCTCTGCTCCCCTGCCCCCCGCTCATGCTCTCTCTCTCTCTGTATCTCTGTGTCTCAAATGAATAAATAAAATCTTAAAAAAAAAAAAAAAAGAAATAGATCCTGACTACTGGCCCTTAGGGTGACAAGATGGACAGACAACTCCATTTGCCTTAATAGGTTACATTTACTACATGCTTACAATATGCAGGCCATGTCCTAAGACCTTTACAAGCATTAGCCTTACAAGTATTTGATCTCACAACAACCTTATAAAATAGGTATCATTCTTTTCCCCACTTAACAAACAAGGAAACTGAGGCACAGGGAAGTTAAATAGCTTGCCCAAGGTCACCCAGGGAGTGGTAATGGTAGGGTTTGAATTGGGGCAGCTTGATTCCAAAGCTCCCACTGTGAATGACAGCCCTAGATTAAGAACCACTAGAGAGTTCTCCAGAAGAGACAGGGCCAGTTAATAGTGGGGGATGCAAGGAAGTGTCTAAAGCTGACAGTGCGTGACTGGCTGGGGACAAAGCTGGGTAGTCAGGATTGGGTACTGTGAACACAGTGTTTTGTTATGGTCATTTTGACCCTAGTGCTATTTTGACATTCACACAATTCATTTCTGTGAAGAATAAAGCATTAAACTTTCAACTTAAAAAATCATCAAGTACTCTGTGCAGCAGAAACTCATTCTAATGTCTGGATGAAGTGAGAGTCAGATTGGGGATTCAAGACTGGGGAGTCAGAGATGTGGTAAGAGACAATGAAGCCTAGAAATGGGGTAAGGTTGTGACACGCATTATTTGTTCATTTTTTTTTAAGTGATTGGCTTGATATTTAGGATTACAGAATGTCCATGGTGTCAAAGTGGTCTAAAAAAAAAAAGATTCTACTTCAAAATGGGACTTACAGGAGGAAGAGGTTAAGCAGTGAGTGCTAACCACAACCTGCCTTGGGCAGAAGCAGAAGAAAGCCTCAAGCCAAGTAATGGAAGGAGAGTCACTTTCTGTTCTGGTTGTCAGAAAGGGCAAAGAATCAACACATCACTTTTGCAATGGATGAGTTTACAAAATTACAGGAAGTGTGACAAGACTTGAAAGACAAGGCACATTTTTTTTTTAAGAGTTCAGCTTTTTATTGAACAGGTTACAGAAGAGGTTTAGTTGGAAAGACCAAAGCCCATGTCATCATCAGACTCCTCTGACTCTTCTTTGCTTCCACCTCCTCCTCGGCTGGGGCAGCTGTGCTGTAGGGGGAGGGGAGGGGGCCAGGTCCAGCTGCTGGGGCAGGTCCACCAGCCCCTATATTGCAGATGGGGCTCCTGATGTTGACATTGGCCAGGGCCTTTGCAAACAAGCCCGGCCCTAAAAGTTCAACACTTACACCGGCCTTTAATGAGGGCATTGCTCTTATCCTCCATGTGACCGTCACCTCATCCTGGAGCAGGATGAGGGCCGAGTAGATGCAGGCGAGCTCCGAGAAGGGCATGCGAGTGTTGGGCTGGCGCTGCTGGGCACAGCGTAGTTGCTAGATGAAGTGAGGGCCTCACCCCAGCCTGGCCTTAGCTTCCTCAGAAGGATCAAGCACCTTAGTGCAGCTGAGGAAAGGCAAGACACATTTTTTAAATATCATGCAGTATCTTTTTGCTGTGGAGTATTTCCCATCTGAAATTTGGGATTATTTGACCAAGTGGCATCACCTCTGGTATTTTCCATGGATCAAGAGAAAGTATTGTGAGAAAACTGGGATACAGAGCCAGGTTCAAATCCAGGCTCTACCACTTGCCAGGTGAATCTCAACCTCTGAACCTCAGTTCCTTAATGGATCAAAAGAGAGTGATAATATTGCTTAAGTCTCAAGGTTGTTGTGGGCCTTAAATTGTGCCTCAGCTAGTCAGCCTTCAGTAAATATTTATCAAATGGCAAGAGTGGTTAGTAGCATTACAGCTGAAGATTTTATTTTACTTTTCTGTATTCCTTAAATTTTCTACCATGAATGTGTACTGCTTTTGTAATTAGAAACAAAAACATAAAACTAATTCTTTTTTAAAATGACAGGCATAATTTCTCATATTTTCACCTTTGCTCTCCTCACCTTTGCTTCTTTCATTTCCCTTTCTGTTATATATAAAAACGGGTCTTCTCCACCCAGCAATATTCAGAAGATGCTATGGGATGTCAGTTATTGTCTATACTGCATAATGGCTTTAAGGGGGTCAGCTCAGCGTACCCAGGCCTGTGGTACTTAGATGGGGCTGAGGTCAGTGGTAACTCAGTGCCACGGGAGCTCTGTTCTCTCCATTACACATCGATCCCCATCCTGACACTGCCAGGCCTCAGGGAGCTCCATTTTTTTTTTTTTTAATCCTACTAGTTTCATTTATTCAGCACCAAAGCCTGGAGGCACTGACATAGGCTGCAAGAGTCAAGCCTGCAGTTGGTCTTTGGAAACCAGGGAGAGTGTGGGCGAGTGTATTAAATAAAGCAAAGTTCTGGCAGAAAACCAGCTTCTAATCTTGAAGTGTCCCCTGGTTCTCTTCTTTTCTTTATAATTTTAGGTTTGTGGGTCCCAGATCTCCATCTTTGCCTTCTGGAGCTGCTGCCTTAGCAATAAGAAAAGATGAATGTAGGGATTTAAGGCTGAGTTACACCAGCCCCTGAAGCATTCTCACATCAGGAAGCATAACCAGGTGGCTCTGTCACATCTGAAGCTACCTGGTCTGCTCACCCTCTCACACTGTGGGCCTTTTCTCACACAAGGACGTAAGGGAAGAGCCAAAGGGCCAGGATCTTTCTGAGTGTGTGGGCTTCTGGGGGTGCAAGGTGTGGTTCATTAGCTTCCTTTCAAACCCACTCCTGCTCGCTTGTTCCTATTTCAGCAAACATCGCTGCCATGCACCCAGCTGCCTAGGTTAGAAATCTAGGAGTCATCCTTGACCACTTCCCTCCCCGTACCATTCACATCCCATGTCCAATTATACGTGTAGACCTACTTACTCTACTGCTTTAAATGGCCCTCAAACTCATCTGCTTCTCTGGTGCCTTTCTCCCCTTAGCCCATGTTTAAATCTCTTTTACAATATTCCTGTCAGTGATCATGTGGTCCCACTTTGGACACTGCCAATAATGGAATTTACTACCTCTAAGGTGATCCATTCTATTTCTAAACAGCAGGAGGAGTTACAGTGTTCTTCCCTATGTCAAACCAAAATTGGTTTCCCTAAAGCTTGCACTGTGTTCTGGCCTTTAGGCCTACATAGTCAAGACAGTCTCTTCTGCTCTGAGTCAGCCCTGGGTGTGAAAGCATGGTTACTATGTCCCTGAGGCATTCTCTTCTCCAGACCAAATATATCCACTTGTTTCCACCTATCGCAATAAATATGGTTTCAAGCTCCTTCTCTAGTCAAATGGCCAACAGAGCTACTTCTTCCCACTCTGCAAAAGCCTGAAAAGCATCTTTACATAAACAATATTATTCTCCTTGATTCTCCCATGTTAAGCTCAGAGATCATGTGACCATAGAGAAAATTTCTCCCATCCCTGCAACACCCCATCACATGCATAACTGTGTAGATAGCTTTGAAACAAGCAGGTCAACTTTATTATTCACAAACTAAAGCTAATTATATTGAGCTGTCAGGGTTGTTGTATTAAAATAGATAACAAAGTTTGAATTAAATATTTCAACAAATATTGATGTAACACCCATCATGTACTGGACATTCCGCTGGACTCTGGGTATAATATAGTCCTAAAGATGTTAGGAAAGACCTCTACCTTTATGGAATTTCTAGCCTAGAGACTGAATATGAGAGGCTCTCCAAGGGTCATACAGTTTGAACTAAAGCCCAGCTCAAACTCTCCCTGAAGCCGGTTGGAATTCTCCCTTCCAATGACCTAAGCTGGAAGCTCAAAAGTGGTACCCACTATTATGATTATCGTAATAATAAACATAGATACAACCACATTAATGCCAATAAACCTTTGGATGTTACAATTTCCTTATGAGAATAATGCTTTTAGAAACAGAGCAAAGACCATAGTGGCATTTCTTGTGAATAATAACCATTATATCACAGATTGTCTCAAATTCTCATCCTATAAACCACCTATTTCCTATAAATCAAGGAGTTTTATAATAAATGAGCTGAGTTAGTGTCCACACAGTGACTGTCCATTCAAATGTGGATTACTTGCTTAACTTGGGCAAACGGAATGAGAGATTCTAGAGTGCAGAACAGCAGCTTCATCAAGGAAGGTGCACTTGCACTTGTAGGTACAGTGCCAGGCTCCCTTCCTCCTTCTGTCTGCTGGAACAATTATCCTGTCCGTAAAAGTCGTCTTCAGCCATCATCTTATTCAGTACACTATGGATGACAGGATATGCTTCCACCATCAAAGAGGCTTTCAGCTTTTCCAAAAGTTGTATTTTGGCTTCCTCATCATTTTATATCATAATTTGTTCAGCATTTGGTCAAGGAACTGATAGAAATGGAAGAGTTACTTACTGTAAAACACCCAGTCTCTGCTCATTTAAAACCACTGATCTTCCTGTTTCTCTGTTACTGGCAGATAATCCACCATCTTGGGTGGGGTGAGCATGAAACCACCACCTAATATCTCACTAGGGGAGGGGAGTGACCACAGGATGTCATCCTCCGTGTCAGAAGACTGGCAAATATTTAGCAAGGAGGGTTTCACATTTGCTTATCTGAGAAGTGCTCCACGTCTGTACCATGCTGCTGAAATGAGAGTTAAGATCTCTTTTGTCAAGCCTCCCCCACTGACCCTATATGCTGACAAGATTTTAAAATACTATCCATGTCTTGGTATTAATCACACTCATATTTATAGTGGCTCATATTTGTTAGCTATAGTTAGTCCGGCATTGTGCCTGACGTATACTTTATCTCAGTTAATCCTCATTGCAATCTTTTGAGGTAAGCATTTTCTCCTTTCACATGAAAAAACTGGCTCAGAGAGGGTAGATGGCTTGCTTAGGTTAATTTAACCAATAAATACAAATGCCAGGATTCGGGCCCAATTGAATGTCTATATCTCTTTATTCTCTTACCCACCACCCCAAACACTCGAATCCCAACCCAGAATCGAGGGGACCACGCACAGAGTATCCTTCCTCGCCTACGTGTTCACTCCAGTCCATTGTTTGTGGCCTTTTCTATCTCCTACATAGGATTTCAGTTCCTGTGAAGGAAAGAGAACTTATTCATCTTTGTGTTTCTCCCCAGAGAACAGAACATAGTCATTCTCAATAAGTACATTTTAAGTGAAAACACACACATGCGAACCAGAATACAGTGCTATCACTAGAATTTCTCTACTCCTACTTCAGAATTACAGAAAGGCTCCCATTTTAAAATTAATAATGAATCAAATCATCTTATTGTGCCTATGTGATAGTAGCCATAGAGTGACTAAATAATGAACCCCCCCTTTTTTTCTTGCAGCTCCAAATTGCACATCCTTTAGCTATCCAAAGCCAGAGAGAATAAAATCTTCCCATCCTTAGTGTGACACTCAAAAGTAGTTGAGCAGAGACATGCCATTGCTTGAATACGGATGGAAGAACTTGTAGCTCTGCACAAATACCGAAGCTTCCCAGACTCACAAAAAGCTGGTGGGAACTCATTGTGCACAACACATGGGAATAAATCTCTCCCCTTTATACAAGGTTGGCCTCACTTGGAGCAGTTGCAGATTGAGAGACAGAGTTCTTGGCCTTAGTATTTAAGACTCTGACACCTGAAAGTCATCATTCCAGTTGGAATGGAAGCCACACGGAACAAATAGGTGTGGAGGATCAGCAAGCCAGGAAAGAAAGACTGACATGGCAATAATAACTCTCCACATTTATACAGTGTTTCCTATGTCCCAGGCGCTTCCTTACATTATTTGTTTTAATCCTTACAACAGGCTGAGGGGTAGGTACATTTAAAAGATGTAGAAATGAAGCTTGAGGAGTTAAATGACTTGCCCAAGCCCTCCTTGTTGGTAAAAGTAGAGCTGAGGGAATTGAATTGAGGCCTCTCTGACTCCAAAGTCTAAGCTCTTAACCACTCATGCTAATCATTAACCACACTTGCCTAACCATTGAATCTGTTCTTGGCAATCAATACTGGAGGCTAAATTCTAGACACGTACTGCATTTTATTTATTGCTTTGTTTTTATTTTTGTAAAAGCTAAATGTATAGTTCTCATCCTGTAAGATGAATACTATCCTTCTCAACTCATCTTTTAGTTGTCAGCAGAAGTCCAGACTAAAAACCTGCTCTAGATAATAACAGGGACATCTGGACTACGTGTCTTCAAACTGACAATTTTACTGAAGACACCGATGCCCAGAGTGGGCAGACCAGATAAGCAGCAGCCGTTACAGACTTGAGTCTGATGAAAAATACCACTTACTTCACTTGTATTTGTAGGCTGTGTTATGGCTACCAGGCATGTCATATATATTCTTTTATTTGATCCTAAGGAAAATTGTGAGGTAGATAAGGTATGTAATATTATCTCTATTATACAGATGAAGAGGCACACCCAGAATCATTATCCTATTAAGTTCTAGTCTTGAGAGTCCAAATCCCAAATAAATGAACTTCTAGCCCTTTTAACCCTTCAAAAATACAGATGGAACTGGGCTCAAATCTTGACTCTACCACACATCTCTCGGAGCCTGCAATTTTCTCCCCTGTCAAATAAGGGATGAGGATGTCTACCTCACAGGACTGTGAAACTAGATCAAGTAATGTAGGTAAAGCCCTTTCAATAAAGAAGTGAACAGAACAGATGTAGATCCCGTCCTCATGGATCGGGATGGTGGGAGGTGAAAAAACAAACGTTCAGTGATTACACAACTTGATGATCAAGTTACAATAATCATAAGTGTTATAAAGGAAAAGACAGAACACTCTGTAGGTGTACCATAGGATGAGCTATCCTCCCGTGTGGCTGAGGGCAGGCCTCCCTCAGCAGTGACAGCCAAACTGAGACCTGAAGGATGAGTGGCAGTTAGAGAAGGGGGGGGGTGAGGGCAGGTGTGGGTTGTAGCAGAGAGTGTTCCAGGCATGAGGAGCATCAGTGAAGCATGGATGAAGAAACTTGGTGACCTTGCAGATCAGAGAAATGACTTCTGTGGCTGGAGTGTAAGGAGCTCCAGGAAAAACGATGTGAAAGGATGCTGGAGAAATAGGCAATCTCCAGGCCATGTGGAGCCTTGCAAGACAAGTTAAAATTCTTGAACTTTAACCCAGGAACAATGAGAAGTCATGGAAGGGCTTTAAGCAAGGGGCAACATTAGATGAGAGCTTTAAAAAGTCCAGTTCCAAAAAATAAAATAAATAAAAATAAATAAATAAAAAATAAATAAAAAGTCCAGTTCCAAACTAGGGAAAGCTGGCATCTTTTTAAAAGCTTTCTTTTCTTTTTTTGAATAAACACATCTTTAGCATCCCTTACATTGCAACAGTGATATAGACTATGTGTTTGAAATATAAAATGAAAAAATTTAGACTGGGGCAAGTACCAGCCCCACCCTCTACTACTTTCAGGATCTAGGACAAGTCACTTCAAAGACTATCTCTGCTCTTGCTACCTAACACGGTTTCTTCTCTAACCAAAAGTTAACCTGCAGATCTTAAAAGTACTTTGAAAACCAGTGTACACACTTCTAGGGAGCTCATTTATTCATTGTTTTTGTCAAACAAATATTTATTAAGCATCAGCCACGTGCCCAGCATCATATTAGGTACTGGGGGTTCAGAGGTGGATAAGATACAGACCCTATACTTTAAGAACTCACAGTTTGGGGTAGACATAGCAGAAAAAAAAAATAAGTAATCACTATGCTGTACACCTGAAAGTAATATAACATTGTGTGTCAACTATACTCCAATTTAAAAATTTTTAAATAAAATAAAAAGGGATGGAAGAAAATACATACATACATACATACATACATAAAAAGTAATGACAATAAAGTAGGATCTACTACAAGAGAAGAAGCAGGGAGGGAGTTATTTACAGAGCTTAGAGTCAGGGAAAATTTTTAGTAGAGGTGATATGCACATAGTATGTGCTTAATACATGTTGAATGAAAAGTTTGAGCTGTCTTTTCCCCCCAACTTTATTGATATGTAATTGGCATATAACATTGTGTGAGTTTAAGATATACCATGTGTTGATTTAATACACTTCTATATTGCAAATGATTACTACCATAACATTTTTTTAAAGATTTTATCTATTTAGAGAGAGAGAGAGAGAGAACGTGAGCGGGGGAGGGGAAGGAAGAGGGAGAGGGAGAATCTCAAGCGGACTCTGCGCAGAGTGCAGAGCCTAACATGGGGCTAGATCTCGCAACCCTGAGACCTGAGCCGAAATCAAGACTCTGGACACTCAACTGACTGAGCCACCCAGGCACCCCTACTACGATAACATTATTGAGCTGAGTCGTAAAGGATGAAGGGAAGACTACCAGACAATAAGAGGAGTAGGGAATGAATAAGATCACAGATACCATAAAAGTAACCTTTTCATATATAACTTTATCAGCAGTCAGCTAGATAGGTTGAAAGGGAGAGATTGTAGGTAAGGAGACCAAGTGAAAACCTGGGGCAATAATCCAGGTGAAAGGTACAAAGGACTTATTGTTCCCTCAGGAGTAATGGTGGCTGTACTCAGTTTGCTTGACAATAAGTTTTACTTGGTAGTACAGGGTATGGCTTGTAAGTGTTAATACATCTTCCCATGAATGGATGTCTGTTCACCTTCATGGGGGTAGAGACCATGTCATCTACTGAAATCCTTGTAACACCTAATGCTATGCTCTGTATCCATATGCACCCATCAAAAATTGGGTTGACCGTTGGATTCACTGAGTTGCGGTGGGAGTGGGGCAGCTGGAACAAGAGAAGTGGGAGAGTACTCCCCATCTGCCGGGCACCACAGGCACTCTTCCCTCCTATAAGGCAACATCTTAAACTCAGCCAAACCTCCTTCTTATTTTCACCCAAAAGCCTGTTATGTCCTTTTCCTTGTTCGGTCGCATCCATCTACCCTAGCTAGAAACCTCAAGATAATATCGGAAGCCAAGAACAAAGCTAGGGGGAAAAATCATTTTTCAGGCTTTTAAGAACTGTATTTTCCTCCAGGATCTTCAAAAGAGTTTTGCCTCTCATTCATACATAGAAAGAAGTCAGTGGGATCCTAAGATTCAACAATGCCACTTCTCTGAATCTACCCTAAAGACACACTCCCAAGTGTACACGAAGAAGTATGTATAAGTGTATTTTATATGAGATAAAAAGTGGAAATAGCCAGGGGCGCCTGGGTGGCTCAGTCGTTAAGCATCTGCCTTCGGCTCAGGTAATGGTCCCAGGGTCCTCGGATCAAGCATCGGGCTCCCCGCTGAGCAGGAAGCCTGCTTCTCCCTCTCCCACTCTCCCTGCTGGTGTTCCCTCTCCCACTGCGTCTCTCTCTGTCAAATAAATAAATAAAATCTTAAAAAAAAAATAAGTGGAATAGCCTAAAAGTCAATTCATCCAACACATGCTAATAAACCATGTTCTGTTCGTGACACAAAATACTAGACAACTGCCAAAATAAATGAAGTAGATCTATAAGTGTTAATGCGGCAAGCACTCCAAATTGATTGTTTAAGTGAGAAAGGCAATTTGAAGAATGATAGGTCTTATACCATTGGTGTGAAAAATAACCACCAATGAACCAAAATCCTGAAATAGTAATTTATTCCTTACAGCTATATACATATGCACTAAATGCATAAAAAATGGCCCGGGAGAATATGTACAAAAATACATACAAATCTGGTAACAGTGGTTACCTCTGGGAAGGTGGGTTGGGAACCAGGACTGGGAATGACAGTCAAAGAAATTTAGTGTTCTCTGTATTTAAATTTTTTTTTCACAAGTGTAATAGTGCATTTATGATTTAATGGAAGAATTTTTTTTTTAAGATTTTTTATTTATTTGACAGAGAGACACAGCAAGAGAGGGAACACAGGCAGGGGGAGTGGGAGAGGGAGAAGCAGGCTTCCCGCTGAGCGGGGAGCCTGATGCGGGGCTCGATCCCAGGACCCTGGGATCATGACCTGAGCGGAAGGCAGAAGCTTAACAACTGAGTCACCCAGGAGCCCCTGAAAGAATTTTTTTAAGGTAAGAAAATCATTAAGGATGTGCAGTACTATTTTTAGTAGTGAAAAGTTTGAACTACCTAATAGTGATAGAAATATTATTAAATCAATCATGGTACAATCCACATGGCAGAACTTAATAAAAATGTTCATTTTTATGTTTGCAGATGTAAAGAAGTTAGTAATTCATAGTTCCACTTAAAAGGAACTACATACTAATTATGATGTTCTGAATTATCCCACTTTTGTTAACAAATACATATAAAAAAGTTTGAGATATTTTTTATAAAAGGTATATAGTTGTTTCTACATCAATGGGATTCTGGTTGTGTTTTGCTTCTGTATACCCTAATTTTTCCCTAAGAAATAAGTGTGTAATAAGAAAAATTGTATTTTAAAAAATGTAAACGAAATGAGGGACTTGAACTGGGAGAAAGGTAAGAGGAAAAAATGCGTAATGGTGGATGGGAATAAGAAAGTAGGGGAGGGCGCCTGGGTGGCTCAGTCGTTAAGTGTCTGCCTTCGGCTCAGGTCATGATCCCAAGGTCCAGGGATCCGGTCCCTCATCAGGCTCCCTGCTCAGCGGGGAGCCTGCTTCTCCTTCTCCCACTCCCCCTGCTTGTGTTCCCTCTCTCACTGTCTCTCTCTCTCTCTCTGTCAAATAAATAAATAAAATCTTTAAAAAAAAAAAGAAAGAAAGAAAGAAAGAAAGTAGGGGAAAGGGTACTTCCGGCGCGGCACGCCCCTACCGGTCGCCTGTCGAGTGGACCGAGTGCGGTACCCGAGCCCAGCCGGCCCCCAGCACCTGCTGCGGGCGCAGCTACACCATGGAGCGCCTTGATAAAAGAGCGCTGAATGCGCTGCAGCCGCCCGACTTCAGAAATGAAAGTTCACTAGCATCTACCTTGAAACGCTCCTGTTTTTCACAGCTCTAATGATCACTGTACCTATTGGGTTATATTTCACGACTAAATCTTATGTTTTTAAAGGCGCCTTTGGGATGTCCAATAGGGACAGCTATTTTTATGCTGCTATTGTTGCGGTGGTCGCCGTCCACGTGGTGTTGGCCCTCTTTGTTTATGTGGCCTGGAATGAAGGCTCACGACAGTGGCGTGAAGGCAAACAGGATTAAATTGGACATCACCTTTTGATAGCATTAAATTGATTTTTTTAAATGGTAAATGTGTCTGGGATATTGATGATTTCAATAAAGTTGAGAACATGTTAAAATCAAAAAAAAAAAGTAGGGAAAAGATGTTTGAGGATTTTTTTTTTAAGATTTTATTTATTTGACAGAGACAGAGACAGCGAGAGCAGGAACACAAGCAGCGGGAGTGGGAGAGGGAGAAGCAGGCTTCCCGCGGAGGAGGGAGTCCGATGTGGGACTCGATCCCAGGACCCTGGGATCATGACCTGAGCCGAAGGCAGATGCTTAACGACTGAGCCACCCAGGCGCCCTGAGGATTTTTTTTAAAGAGATTTTTTTTTTTCCAGAGAGTTAAGGGGAAAAATATTTTTGTTCTCAGAGTTTTTCAGTATACTTTCCAAGCCATCAAGTTTCTAAATATAACCAAAGATGATTTTACAAGCAACCCAATATAAACACATAGATGTTTATATTTCTACATTAACAACATGACATTGGAGCTGCAAAAAGTTCTTTCGAATTGGCTATATTTTATTTTTCTAAAAAAATAAGTCCCCTTTTGAGTCCCCTTTTAAAATATAACACCACCTCCACCCCATCCTGGCTTTAAATTTCAAGAGAAGTCAGAATTTAGGATGGAGGACAGAGGGGTGGAGGAGCAGGAGGGAGGTGGGGGGGTTAAGCATTTGGGCAGGAAGGGGAAGGGGAGGACTTTTTGCAGAGCCTTACCTAAAAGTAGTACTGCATAGCCTTTAATGTGTATTTGGATCATCTAGGGATCTGGTGAAAGTGCAAGTCTAGGCTGGGACTCCCGGATGATGCCCAGGCTGCTGGTCCATGGACAACTTGGAGCAACAAGGCCTTGGAGTCAGGGAATTTGCTCTTCCACCCTGGTCTGTCTGCGTTTCACTGGCCATGACTTCTTTCTTTCTAACCTAACATTTTTTTGTCAGGATACCCAATAGCAGAAGCTTTTCAGAAAGTCATTTTACCATATACAAGGTCCAGTTTAAGGCCCTATGCACGGAAGTGAGGAAAATGGGAAACAGAATAGGGAATGGGCAGGAGCCCCTGAGACACAAATGGTATTTGTTAGAAAGGGTGTGGCATTATGGAAAAAGCCCTGGACCGGTTGTCGGAAGACCTGGCTTCATTAACCAGTTGTGTGCCTTTGTGCCAGTCACTTCTCTCCAGTCTTCCATCTCTTTTCCTGTCAAAAGACTTGGTCTACCTGGCTTCTAAAATCTTTTTGGCTCTGACACTTGAGGAGTCTATAAAGAGAGCCTATATCAACAGGAGGGAAGAAAAGAAAGATGCGCCACCACACACATAGCTGCCAAGGATCCTGTACATGTGGTATCATAATGGAAGAATTTTTCCCTTGTCTGCCCAGATGCAGAAATGTTGGAGTGAGAGACTGGGAAACATGCCTAGTATGAAATCCTAGTACCCTGACTTCCTGGTTTTGGCAATTTAGTCTTGGGAATCTGTCCCAGGCTCTGTAAAGTAAGACAGACCATGAAAACAGGCCCTCTAAGAACTTCAGTGTGGCTCTGGCAGCCTTTAGATTCTAAGGTCCTCAATCCTTGGGGCCACCCTCATGTTTTACCTCATTCCCCTACACTGATCAGCAGCCAAATTCTGAAGCCACTTGAGCTTACAGTCTCAGCCAAATGGCCCTACTGCCTTCCTGTTTGTGAAAGCCTCCAATTCCCAGCCTGTGGCCAAATCCAATTTTTGCAGCACTCAACCCTTCCCCCAAGATCACCCTCTGGACTTGAGTCTCCCACATGCTGCAGACTCTTTTTGGGCCTAGAGCAGCCAAGCCTAAGGGAATTGGAAAGGCCAGATGGTGACACTTCTTTCTCTACATTTAAAATCGTCCTATGCTCAAAGGGAGGCTCGGCCCCTAGTTTGATAAGCACAGGGTGGGAAAGGGACCTGCTGTGGTGAGATTACCCAGACTCTGGGGCAACCTCCTACAGTTCTGCCTCACACCCCAACAGACCTGCACTCTTCACCTTTTCACTTACTCAACGGGCCTACGGCTATTCTAGCAAAGACTCCCAAGTCATCCATAAGCATGCTAGCATCAGGCTGCTTCCTGTGGTTTAAGGCAGGCAGCCTCCATCCATGTTCCTGGGACCCTGTCCCCCAGCAGACATTCACTCAGGGCATGGCCTCCTGAGGCATCCATTTGGGATGCAGGGACCCTGTGGGCTGCAAGAGGAGTTATTTTTCCCTCCGGCCCCAGCCTAGGCTGTGCTGAATGATGGGGCTGGCTAGCACAAAGACTGCTTTTTATGTTGGTCCTTGGTATTTTTGGTGTCTGGAAAGAGCTTCCTTTCCTCCCATAGTTAATTAGCAGCATAGGAGCATTTCCCTTTCCTCAACAGAAAGTCTTTTCCTGCCCCTGGGGCCAGGCAGAGGGGTGGCAGGTGTGGCTAAGCGCTCCCTGAGGTTAACCTCAAACTTCAGCTTAGAGCCACACTTGATGAGAAGCAAAGTGAAAAGCAGGGTTAGCTTCCATTGGGGCAGAGTTGGCAAGTGGGTACAGGCCCCTGGCAAGCCAGGGGATTATTTTCTAGTCTCCCAATCAGGTGAGGGGACAGGAGAAGGGGGTGGGGAACCAATGTGTGTTTGACACGTTTGTGAATTGTTCCTATAGCAAAGGCTTTTAAAAAAAAAAAAAAAAAACAGAGTGGAGCTTTATATATGTGAATGAGAGGCTCACAGAAGGACCTATTGTCAGGAGGAAAAATTGCATGAGTAATTGTGCATGACTTCAGTCTTCCCAGTAGAAATGTTAGGCGTGTTAAGGATGATTGTGGACATTCCAGTGTTTTCAACGTGGGGAAGAGAGAGGAGGGAACTCCTGAGAGGTGAGGAGGCAGGTTGTCTAGCAAGGCAGGGGAGACAGGAACCTAAAAAGCTCTTCCTCCACTTTTCTTGTTGGTTCCCATTCTTCCTCTACTTAATTAAGGTATCACCTCCTACAGGAAGCCTTCCTGCCCCTACCTCCTTCTCTCACCTCCCACTTTAGGTGTCCTTGATAGGTATCTACTGTATTATCATTATTTACTAGACCGTGATACTACTGATAGTTTATAGAGCAGTGGGCATGGACCCCAGCACCGGATTCCACCACTTCCTAAATGTATAACTCTGGCCAAATTACTTAATCTCTCTGTGTCTCAGTTTCCTCATCTATAAATGGGAGTAATACCTACCTTCTAGGGTTGTTATCAGGATTAAATGTGTTAATACATATAAGGCGCATAGAATAGTGCTTGACATATGGTATGTACTCAATAAATATTAGCAATTATTATTTTTATTTGTATCCCCAGTCGTTAACACAATTTGTAATATATCATGGGGCAGTGGTTTTTCAACCCTCGTATGTATCATCATTGCTTGAGCAGCTTTAAAAATATATGAATCTGGGCACCATTGGTCTAGGAGTGAAAACTGATCGTGGTATTTGGGGAAAGTTCCCAGGTAGTTTTATTTTGCCTCCAAAGTCACAGGTGCTCAATGAATAGATGAATAGATGAACCAAATGGGATCAGAAGGAACCAACACAGGTGACATCATCCTTAGGAATGTCAAAGCATGATTCTGTCCCCTTCAGAAAGTTTATTATTTCCTGAGGCAGACTTCCAAAGAATGATATGACAGTGAATGTAATGGAATACATGAAAGAATATAATTTTCATCATCTCAACATACTGCTCTATTGAAGAAACAGAAAAACGATTAGCTAGAGCTAATATTAGAGATCAATAGGTATTTCCTCTTCTGCTCTCTTTTGTTTATGCAGACTTATTGCTCAGAGAATTGCCATAACAACTCCAACCAGAGCTGAACTTTGACCTTTCCTCCAGTTTTAATTCCGACTTGCCACCAAGTCTTTAATTCAGTGGATGTAAGAAAACATTTAAAGTCCCCAAATAAAGCATTTCTGCCCCTGTAATGTACAGTTGCAATATGTTGTTATCATAGCATATTGTAATTAGTTGCTTTATCGAGTTGGTTTACAAAATTTAAACTGACTGCGGCTCATAAAACAGGAAGTCAGGCATCTCACAATGGAAATAATGAACTATAGCCAGGGCTCTTACTCTCAAGGCCCGTATATATTAATGGGGGAAGTAAAGATAAACATACTGAAAACTAGAGAAAACGAATACAGCAGAGACATTTAAATAGTATGTAGCGGGATAAAGTGGTCTTGGAGTCAGATTTAGGCCTATTTCTTATTAGCCATCTGACCTCAATTAATTCAATTAACCTTCCTGAATTTCAGCTCCCTTATCAACCAAATGTGGATTCTGATGCCTATGTTACAGGATTGTTGTGAGGCTTCAGAGCGATACTATACATAAGTGTCTGGCACTTTTTATTAAATGAAATCATCTTAATGAACAAAGAGCTGTATTCCAGCAGCACAATTTGTTGTCAGCAATTTCATTATCAAGAGGAAAGATCATATGAAACAGGACTCAAATCAAAATGGAGAACTAAACATGAACATAGACCCGCCCTACCACCATAAACCCCTTAAAGGACAGACAAGATAGCAGAAAAAGCAGCAGAAATTATGATAAAAATCTGGATAGAAAGCAGTTAGGATCACACTGATAGACAACTCAGGATGAGTATTAACATACTCCAAAACACTCGTAAGGTAAATTTCTTTGAAGGTGGGGGCAGGGAATCTCCTAGCTCAGTGGAAGCAAATAGAAGGAATACGAGGGGTTGGAAAGCACTCGTCAGGATTATTCATCTTTAAACTGCCCTGTGCACAACAGACCTCTCTCCTCTTCCCTCCACTTCAGAGAGCTATAGGTCAGGGGTAGGGGTCAGGAAGGTGGACTAAAACACAAAGTTTCACTCTAAGAAGGGAAATCCCCTGTCTGGGGAGGGTGTCTGCTGGTGTGTAAGGGCCTGTGAGAAAAGCAGGGCTGGAAGTAATCCTATCCAACTTCCATGGACACAGAGAGGAAAAAGGCAAAGCTGTTCCTGCCCAGCCTGTCAACTGTGGCTTCACTGAAGTAAAGGCCTCCATATTTTGGCATCTGGGGATGGGCAAAGGACCAAGTGGGGAGGAGGGTGGTCCCCGAGCCTGCCTCTCTGCCTGCTCTAAGCACCTTACTGGGAAGTCTGCAGTCAAAATGACCTACTCACAGAGTCCCTAGTAACCCTCCATTCACCAAAGGAGACTAGAGGGGAAATGGACAGCTCAAAATTGAAGTGAAAACTTAAACAAAATACCTGCTAATTAGCCCATTCTTCAAACATAGATATGATGAAAAACCAAGGATCACCAGATAGCTGAGGAAATTCAAACAGCTCTAAAGAAAAGGATTAAGATGAACAAACTGAGGGACGCCTGGGTGGTTTAGTCGGTTAAGCATCTGCCTTCGGCTCAGGTCATGATCTCGGGGTCCTGGGATCAAGCCCTGCACCAGGCTTCCCTGCTCAGGGGGAGTCTGTTTCTCCCTCTCCCTCTGCCCCTCTATTACCCTGCTGTGCTTTCTCTCTCTCAAATAAATAAATAAAATTTTTAAAAATATATGTAAACAAACTGAAAACTGACTCCAGAGAAAAGACAGATAAAGGAACAGAAAAAAACAGTTTAAAAATTCTAACAAAAATAAATAAATAAATAAATAAATAAATAAATAAAATCTAAATAGCATCATCCTTCAAAAGATCCACGAGGATATTATAGCAGGCTGCTATGAAAAAGAAACAACAAACAGGGAATTAAAAATTATGATAGTAAAACTAAAAAAGCAGTAGATGGGATGAATAATAAGATGGGTGTGGCAAAAACTGGGGATGTTAAGAAGTTAAGTGTGAGGAGATGTCCCTGAATATATAGAAACGATCAGGAATGGAAAATTTGAGAGAAAAATTGAGAGACTACTAGGGACTGAATTGTGTTCCCCTCAAATTCATATATTGAAGCCCTAAACTCAGTGTGACTGTATCTGGACATAGACCCTGTGAGGAGGTGATAAAGGTTAAATGAGGTCAATTCAATAATTCAATGGGGCTGGTGCCTTTATACAAAGAGGAAGAGACACCACAGCTATCTCTCTGCCATGTGAGGACACAGCAAGGACACAGCCAGAAGGCAGCTGTCTACAAGCCAGGAAGAGAGCCCTCACTGGAAAATGAATTGCCTAGCATCTTGATCTTAGCCTCCAAAATTGTGAGAAAATAAATTTCTGTTGTGTAAGCCACCCAGTATATGGAATTTGGTTATGACAGCCTGAGCAGAGTAATACAGAGACACAAAGGATCAATTCAGAAGTGCCTCCTTTCATTCAAAAGAAATGCCAGTAAAGAACTGAGAATTGGTGGGGAAGAGATCCACAAAGAAATATTAAAAGAAAACTTCCCCAACCCGAAGAAAGGCTTCAATACTTCACAGGGCCTGCTAAGTGGCAGGCAAGGAACATTTTCAAAGATGCTTACTTAGACAAATACTTGGGATGTTTCAGAGCCAAAAAGACAAAGAAAAAACTCTAAAAGTATTCAAAGAAGAAAAACAGGTTACCTACAAGGAACAAAAATGAATTGGCTGTCAGACTTCTGAAAGGTCACTCTGAATGCTGGACAGCAATGAAGCAATCACTTCAAACTTGGAAAGAAAATAATTTTGACCCAGAATTATATACCATGCTAGCCAAACTAGCTTTCCAATGAGGTAGCAAAATCAAGACCTTTTCTTTTTACCCTCCAGGTCTTCAAAAGTGAGTAAACTTGATGAAATCCAACACTAGCAAGGTTTTAGGGGAAATGGCCCCCTCATACTCCATGGGAGTGTCATTTGATACTGCCGTTTTGACAGGGCTACTTGGAAGTATGTATCAGCATTTTTCTTTTCCAGCTATCTAACCTGGAGAAGCGCTTTTACAAATGCACAGAAGCCTTGTCTAGCACTGTCTTGCACCACTGTGAGTGGTGCAGATCCTGGAGTCAGAGTGCTTTGTTCAAATCCCAGCTCTGCTACTTATTAGTTATGAGACTTTGGGTAAGATTACCTTAGTGCCTCTCCAGTGAAATGAGGATGATAATATGTACTCCCTATTTCATAGGGTTGTTCTGAGAATTGAGTGAGTTACTACATGCAAAGTGCTTAGAACAGATCTTTGTACAGACTAAGCATTTGATAAATGAGTATTACTGTCATGTATTATAGAGAGAAGTTAGATGTTATCTTAGGACATTAGACAGTAAAATACTTCCAATTTTGTGCCACTGGAAATACATGATGCTGCAGTGTTTGATGTGGCACAATATTGGAGGACCTAATATCTATAAATAGGAGAATGGTACAACTATACTATGGAATACTATGCAGCCGTTAATAAAAAAGGTGGTAGAATTATACTAACTCCATGTGCTATCAATGAAAGATCCCACATATTGCTAAATGAAGGTGAGGAAGGATAAGCAAATTGCTGAACAATATATATAGATTATCCCATTAAAAAAATACATGAATGGGGCTCCTGGGTGGCTCAGTTGGTTAAGTGACTGCCTTCGGCTCAGGTCATGATCCTGGAGTCCCGGGATCAAGTCCCACATCAGGCTCCCTGCTCAGCAGGGAGTCTGCTTCTCCCTCTGACCCTCCACCCTCTCATGCTCTCTCTATCTCATTCTCTCTCTCAAATAAATAAATAAAATCTTTAAAAAATAAAAATAAAAAATAAAAAAATACATGAATGTACATATTGCACATGTACACAGAGATATACCACCGTAGGGCAAAGCAGGGGGAGCTGTCTGTCCTGAGTGCAGGCAGTAAGGGGATATAGCAACTGAGGATAATTTAAAACAATAATTTTAGGGGTGCCTGGGTGGCTCAGTCGGTTAAGCGTCTGCCTTCGGCTCAGGTCATGATCTCAGGGTCCTGGGATGGAGCCCTGTGTCGGGCTCCCTGCTCAGCAGGGAGTCTGGCTTCTCCCTCTTCCTCTGCCTCTCCCCACTGCTCCTCCTCTCTCTCTCTCTGTATCTCTTTGTCTCAAATGAATAAATAAAAAATTCTTTAAAAAAACAAAACAAAACAATAATTTTAAGGAATAACTTGAAAACAATAATAGATGACAATAAAATCTATTTAATCTGCTTCTTATTATCACCATGAACAATGAAAACAAACAATGTCAGTGATAAAATGCTCCTCCAGCCAGGGCAGTCAGCTCTTCCTGTCCCCCCAGCCTCTAATCCTAGATGCTACTGCATCTTCCCAAGTGCATAGAAAAACTTAGAGCAGAAACTGATGGTACTGACTAAATAGGATAATTTACAGAAGGAAGTGGAGTTAAGTGGGGGGGTGGGAAGGGGGCGTGAGCAGGATTTTTACTTTTCACTTGCTACTCATTTAAACGTTTTTTGCAAAGAATATATTTATTTACTTACAGTTTGCACTTCTATAGTTAACACTTTTTTAATTAAAAAAAATAACATGGAGACAAAAAGATTTATTACAGGAAGTCAGAAAAAATGGAAGCCAACAATAGCCTATAACCATTCCTCCAAATATTTTAGATTATGGAATATGGGTTAGGTATGGTGACTGCATTTTCAGAACTAAAAGTTGGAAGCCACTGTCTGCCAAAGAATTTTTGGTACAACTTCTGAGTAGGAGAGGCAGCCTGGGACATCCAATCTGGGTGCCAATATAATGGAATTTCAGGGACCATCTGATGGTTTATTATTACAAAAAGACTGTCTGAAACCAGGTCTGTCCATGAATCCCTAATCCCACTCCATTTTTGGATCCTTTTGGAAATGAACTCCTCCTGATAGGATATCAGCTTAAAACCTAGCATTCAGCCTGCCTTACCCTGACTTCCCTGAGTTCAAGGCCTTGAAGTCTTTGCTCCCCCTGAGATTTGCCAGGAGAGCTGGCGGAGTACTCCTAACTTCTCAGTTGCCACAGCAGGATCCCCAGGCACACTGTCTGTCCTCACCTGAAAAGGCAGCTGTTTTCCTGACTCTCTATCAGCCCCCTACTAGCCTCCCCACCCCCAGCCCAGTCACCTGCACCCCCTACATCCCCACTATCCCTCCCACCCTCTCCACCCCCCTCCTTGTGTGTCGCTGAGCCAGTCTGGCCTGGGTTACTGATAATAATCCTGCTGATTCTAGCACAGGCAATCCCAGGCACAGGATAAGCTGAGGCTATGAAAATGAAATGGCTGGGTACAGAAAGGAGGAGGGTAATAGACCCAGAGAAACAGGAAAGAATGCTCCTCTAGCCAGGGCAGTCAGCTCTGCCAGGAAACTGACGTGAGCTGAGTGGAAAAGAGAAGTTGGAGCAGGACTCATAGAATATCTTGGGGCCAGTTAAGGAAGTGGGAGAGAAGTAAGTCAAGGTGAATACATGAATATTAATCACTGAGAAGGACCAAATGAAAGGCCCCCATGGGCCCCAGAGCATTCTGTGAGGAACAGGGAAAGAATGTGTGTCAGGAGGATGTGCTCCCCACCCTGGCTATGTGACATCAAGCAAGTTCCTTAATCCCCTCAGCTCTATCTGTAAAGTTGGGATCCTTCTAAACATTAAATGGATTCAGGTAAGTAAGGCTCTCAGGCCAGCATTCAGTAAAGCTGAATTTCTTTGTCCTTTCATCAAAATGTTGATGGTGACGATGAAAACTTACCTGTACCCTCTCACTACCCATTCCATCCTCAGTGTGAGCAGTGGACACACTAAATAATAGTGAATTATGATAGCTAACATTGGTTGAGGGCATATTATTTGCAAGCTTTATTCTAAACTCTTCGCAGCATTACCTCAATCCTCACAACCCTACAAAGAAGATAATATTGGTAGTCCTAGTTTACAAGTGAGAAAGTCAAGTCTCAAAGAAGTAATTCGCCCAAGAGACATAGCTAATAAGAGGCAGAACCAGGATGAAAATCCAGCTCTAATTGCAAAATCCATGCTCTTTACCACTGCATTATATTCCTTCCCACTAGTAAGGCAGAAAATAGAGAAAAGGTTAAACAAGTAAAGGTCCTGTCCAAGGCATTGATGAAGATCAGTAGGAGGGTTCCTGTTACCCTGTTTCCCTGCGTGAAAGCAGCTGCTGTAGGAAGCTTCCCAGAGAGTTCCCATCTAATCCAGGAGAGACGCCACTGCTGAAATGAAGTCATAACCCCCTCCCCAACTGCCAGAGATGGGTGGTGACATCCGAAAGCAAGCAGATCACATATGTAACCAGTGCAAATAAAGCTGTAGGCAAGGGCATTACCTCGTGTTATGAAAGTATCTTGCAATAAAGAATGTGGTAACTGAGTCCAAACAGAAGGGTGATGACTTGGCAGGCAGTCTGGAACAAGCCAAGTTAAAAGTTTGCCCATGTGTCTACAGCTCTGTCCACCCTGATTTTAAATGCTCCATACTGGTTCTTTGGGCAGAAAGCCGTGGGATGAGAAAGGTCTGAAGGAGATGCTGCCTGGGGAAGGCCAAAGCACCCAACAAGCAAAAGAAATTACTAGTTAATTTAGTAATGCCAAGGACATTAGAGGATTTCATTAATGTAGCAGTCAGCACCACCACTTCATTTATTCATTCATTCATGTATTTATCCAGGAAACATTTATAGAAAGCCTACTGTGCTCCAGGCCCTGTGCTAGGTGCTGGGACATTATAAAGAGTCCCCAGGAACTTACAGGGACGTCAGGAGATGGTAGAAAGCAGGCTCTTCCAATACAATCAGGTAAAAGCTCTGCTATCGGTGAGGGCCTGCCATATGCAACCACGCTGTCTGTCCTCCCTGCAAGGAGGTGATTATGCCAATGGGAGTCAGGAAATACCTCCTACAATGTGCAAGCCAGAAAAGGACTTTAAGAAGTAGTCCAACTCCCTCACTGTGTTAAGAAGGAAGTGATGGGCCTGAGTTGTAAAAAAGGATATACTGCAAATCAAGACTACCATAGTTTGGGGCACCTGGGTGGCTCAGTCATTAAGCATCTCTCTTCGGCTCAGGTCATGGTCCCAGGGTCCTGGGATCAAGCCCCACATCGGGCTCTCTGCTCGGTGGGAAGCCTGCTTCTCCCTCTCCCACTCCCCCTGCTTGTGTTCCCTCTCTCTCTGTGTCTCTCTCTGTCAAATAAATAAAATCTTAAAAAAAAAAAAAAAGACTACCATAGTTTGTATCAACTGAATGGCTCTATCACAAGTGCTGCAGGAATTTAGGGGTGACAAGCATCACTGTGAGTCAAAGAAGGTTTCCTGGAAGAGGTGGAACTTAAACTGGGCTTTCCTGGAAAAATAAGGGATGTGTGTATGTGTGTGTGTGAAAGAGAGAGAGAGAGAAAGGGAAACACCTGGTTTTTAGATATTGATCAAATTGTTCCTTAAGACTATTTAATTTTCTTTTATCTGGTTTGTTAACTACCCAAAGTCCTTAAGATCTGAAATTTTTTGTTTGTGTGTTTGAGAAGATCTGCTACCAGATATGATAGGATTAGTTGTACAGGCTTCGGAGTCTGACAGACCTGGTGTCAAATCCACACTCCGCCATTTTCTAATTGTGTGACCTTGGTTTCCTCATCTGTTAAATGGGGATAATAATGCCTACCATAGGACCGTGATGAGTGTTAAATGAAGTAATATACATAAAGCATGTAGCATAGGACCTGACACTCAGGAAACACAAAGCATAGCTTCTTAAATGTTGTGATAATTACTTACCTGCATGGACCTTATAACATACAGTGTATTCCATATTCATTCAGTTTCTGTTAATTCTTTTATCAAACAGTTAGGCACAGTGCCAAGCACCATGCTAGATGTGGGACAAGCTGTGTACCAGACAGACATTTCCCCTGCCTGCTCAGGGCAGTTTAAAGGGATGTGAGACACATAAACACACAATTGTGGTACAATGTGAGTTGCACTGTAATAGGGGTGGGTACTAGTGATTGTTGGTCAGCTCTGGGAAGGCTATGAACTTTAAGGGCTATACTAGGGCCTTTGGGGAACTGACTTACCAGGATGCAGTTGCTCTGAAGACAGAACTGGAAGATGCTCCCACCATCAAAGTCATTACCACTTCTTTTTTATTAAGTTTTTTGTTTTAATTCCAGTATAGTTAATATACAGTGGTATATTAGTTTCAGTTGTATGATACAGTGATTCAAAAATTCTATACATTACTCAGTGCTCATCATGATAATTGTACTCTAAATCCCCTTCACCTGTTTCATCCATCCCCCCCACGCACCTCCCCTTTCATAACCATCAGTTTGTTCTCTATAGTTAAGAGTGTTTCTTGTTTTTTTTCTCTCTCTCTTTTACCCTTTGCTTGTTTGTTTTGTTTCTCAAATTCCACATATGAGTGAGATACGGTATTTGTCTTTCTCTGACTGACATATTTTCTTAGCATTATACTCTCTAGCTCCATCCATGTTGTTGCAAATGGCAAGATTTCTATCTTTTTTATGGCTGAATAATAATCCATCATACTTCTTCTTTATCCATTCATCTATCAATGGACATAGTTGGGCTGCTCCCATGACTGGGCAGATAATGCTGCAATAAACATAAGGGTGCACATATCCCTTTGAATTAGTGTTTTTGTATTTTTTGGGTAAATACCCAGTAGCATAATTACTGAATCATAGGGTTGTTCTATTTTTAACTTTTTGAGGAAACTCCATACTGTTTATGGCCATTTGGATGTTTTCTTTGGAAAAATGTTCATGTCTTCTTTGCATTTTTTTAGTTGGATTATGTTTTTTGAGGTGTTGAGTTGTATCAGTTCTTTATATATTTTGGATACTAACCCTTGATTGGATACATCATTTGCAAATATCTTCTCCCATTCAGTAGGTTGTCTTTTAGTTTTGTTGACTGTTTACTTTGCTGTGCAGAAGCTTTTTATTTTGATGAGTCATTACCATTTCTTGATAGTTTGTGTTTGCTCTATATTTTGTACAATGTCATTTCCACCTAATAGCAGAATAATCTGGATAGAAAAGGAAGTTTTCTCTTACTAGTCCAGCATTCAGCAGAAACTACAAGAAGCAATAAAAATACACCCGAGCTTAAGCTCTAGACAATTTTCCTGGCTCCTCTCTCCTAGTGTGTTTAGTACCTGTGGCAGCAAGCATCCAAAGTGGGTCCCAATGATCCCCACCTCCTGCAAGTTACACCCTCATGTAGTGCCCTTCTGCATTGTACCATGGTTGGTCTTTGTGACCAATAGAAAATGGCAGAAGTGATAGCATGGCACGTCTCAGTTTAGGTTATACTCTTGGATGCTCTCTCACACATGCTCTCTTTCTCTTGGATGACTTCCCTTGGAGAAAGTCATATCTTGAGCAGACCTATGGAGAGGCTCACATGGCAAGGAACTGAAGCCTCCTGCCAACAGCCACATGAATGAGCTTAGAAGTGGATTCTCCAGCCCTAGTCAAGTCTTCAAAGACTATGGCCTTGGCCAACAGCTTGACCTCATGAACTACCCAGCTAAGCCATTCCCAGATTCCTGACTCCTAGAATATATGTGAGATAATAACTGCTTGTTGTTTTAAGCTACTTGATGTTGGGGTAATTTGTTTTGTAGCAATAGATAGCTAATACAGTGCCCCTCTTCTATGCTTCCCTGTCATGGCACTTACCACACTGTGTTGTAATTACCTGTGTATGCTTCCATCTCCTCCACAGACTGTGAGCTTAATGGATACCATGTCTTATTGTCTTTGGATTGTCATCACTTGGAACATGCCTAGTCCATAGCAGATGGTCAAAAAACTTTGTTAGATGAATAACTTGCCTTTGTATAGCACATTAGAATCTATAAAGCACTGATGCACTCATATAGTCTTCATGGCACCCCTAGAAATAACTACTGATATTATCCCCACTCAACAGATGAGAAAATTGAGGCTCAGTGACTCAATTATCTCATAGCCAATGGTTAATAAAACCAGGACTCAAACCCAAGTAATTGAATTCCTAGTCTATGCTCCTTCCTCCAAACCAACCTGCTCTTCATTTAGCTTGTGGGGAAGAGGGTAGGAGAAAAGTTATTCTAAAGAATGGAGTGCTGTTCAGTCATGATGGAGCTCCATAGAAAGGGCAATGGACAAGAACATGGCTCATTTATGAATAGGCCAAGTCTCTTTGGGCCTTCCCCACACCACACATGCAATATTTCATTTAATCATCAGAAACCCAAAGTAGGAGATCAATCATTATTATTCCCACTTCACAGATGAGAAAACCAAGGCAAGATCTCATATATTAAATTGTAGAGCTGGGACTCAAGCAAATGTATTCAAACTCCTAGTTCAAGGCTCTTCTTGTAAAACTCAAACTGCTTCCTTTTCCTAGTACGGGACAGCTGGGTTTGGGGCCCAGATAGAATTCCTGATTCCAGCAGGGATACACAGGGCAAGGTATCACAGAGTCTCAGACAATGTGCAGACATGACTAATGCAAGGACACTACCTGTGTGGCTACGTTACACTTCACCCTCATGCTGAGCTCCAGTCACTGATTTTCAGGCCCAAGGTCCAAGGTTTCACAGGATCCCTTTTATCAAAGAAGGGAGATATGCCACTATTGTAGTTAGAGTCATTTTCAGTTTCTACGTCTTTAAAATGGGAAAAATAATTGTAGTAATGGTTAAATGAGATGATATATATAAAATGGCTGGCATGTAATGGTGTTCACAAGCATGTAAATATTCTGCTCCCTTCTGGCTCTATTCCTATGGGACATTTTTAGGACAGGAGCACATAGTGTTTTGTGAGCCTCTCTTCTCCCCATAAGCTGAAGTCTTAGCAGCAACAGTGAAAAGCAGAGGGAGAAGAGAATATTTCTGAGGGCTCTGTGCAGTCTCCAGCCTGAAGGGTGCTCTGCAGTGGGATTTCTGCTTTATGTCAGCTGTGCAGTGGGGCAGAAAGACCTCCATTCTTCGAGGGCAGGTATCATGCTGAGGAGAAGAAGCCCCAGCTGTTCTGTGGGATCTAGTGGAATGTGCCTCGGGGCTGCCTGACGCCTTGCTGGGTTGGGTAAACTTGGCCTGTTGGTTTCCATCCAAGAGACCTTTCACCTTGAGGGCTCAGTGACCAGAAAAACATTCCAGAAGCCAATAATTTTTCATTCTCCAGGGAGCTAGGGAACAGACAGTTTCTGGGCTGGACACTGAGGACAAACCCATGAGAGGGCCTCTGTG